TAGTAGTACTATTAGTGCTAGTAGTAGTAGTAGTAGTAGTAGTAATAGTAGTAGTAGTAGTAGCAGTAGTAGTAGTAATAGAGGGACCAGAAGTCGTAGTACTGCTGGTCGTAGAACTTGTAGTAGGAGTAGACGTCGATGTAGCCGTAGTGGTCGTAGTAGTAGTACTAGTAGCAGTGATAGTAGCAGTAGTAGTAGTAGTAGTAGTAGTAGTAGTAGACGTAGGAGTAGTTGTAATAGTAGTAGTAGTAGTAGTAGTAGTAGTAGTGGTAGTAGTAGTGGTAGTAATACTAGTAAGTAGTAGTAACAGCAGTAGTCGTGGTACTAGACGCAGTGGAAATAATACAAAGTAGTAGTAGTGGTAGTAGTAGTCGTGGTAGTAGTGGTGGTAATAGTTGTACTAGTAATAGTAATAGTAGTAGTAGTAGCAATAGTAGTAGTAGTAGTAGTAGCCGTAGTAGTCGTAGTATACGTGGTAGTAATAGTGGTAGTCGTGGTAGCAGTCGTAGCTGCTGCAGTGAAATCGCAGTCGTAGCCTTAGCACGAGTAGTATTAGTAGTAGTAGTACTAGAAAAACAAATAGCACTAAGAGTAATACTCGTGTTAGTACTCGTGGTAGTAGTCGTCGTCGTTCTTGCCGATGCAGTAGTAGAAGACGTAGTAGTAGTAGTCGTAGTAGTAGCAGTGTTCGTGTTAGTATTAGTGTTCGTGCCAGTGTTAGCAGTAGCAGTGGTAGTAGTAGTGGTGGTAGTAGTAGTAGTCGTAGTAGTAGTGACAGTAGTAGTAGTAGTAGTAGTAGTAGCAAAAGTAATAGTAGTCGTAGTAGTAGTAGTAGTAGTAGTAGTAGTAGTAGTAGTAGTAGTAGTAGTAGTAGTAGTAGTAGTAGCAATAGTAGTAGTAGTAGTAGTAGTAGTAGTAGTAGTAGTAGTAGTAGTAGGAGTAGTAGTAATAGTAGTAGTAGTAGTAGTGTAGTAGTAGTAGTAGTAGTAGTAGTCGTAGTAGTAGTAGTAGTAGTAGTAGTAGTAGTAGTAGTAGTAGTAGTAGTAGTAGAGGTGGTTGTAAGCATTCGTAGTCGTAGTAATCCTGGGGCGTGGCCCTGTGAGGCGCTCCTTCCCTCCAGGGGGCCATTACCATGGGGCGCGGTCACCCTATGCCGCGAGGGCGGGGGCTGGGTGGCTGTCCGTGGTACTCAACCCACGGGGTTGCCCTACCCAGTGGAAGAAAGGCCGGACGGTCACATAGGGGAGGCGGTCGTGGGGTTCTCCATCGCCGCCGAGCTCACCCAGCTCATGGGGAGGTGGCCGAAGTGTCGCCGATAGGCACCGCATGGTCACTGCCTGTAATTCGGTGCACACCGGGGGACTTCCCGGCGCCTATCGGCACCGGCCATGCTGGCGGCGGCAGCTTCGTTCTGTGTTATCGACGCACGGCGGGCCGGGAGCTGTTGGAGCTGATCGAGGTCCCCTCGCATCGTCCATTGCGACACGGAATAATTCGTGGAGTGGTGGGTTGATTCGACTCAGCTGGGTGGCCACACGTGTCTGGGAGCCCATCTGATCCGTATTCATCATTCACCACGCATGCAGTCACCAGCATTGCATGCCAGCTCGCCGAGCGAGCTGCGAAGAGTAGTCATAGTAATGGCCATCGTCGTGAAAGTCGTAGTCGTTGTAGTATGTGTAGTAGTAGCACCAGCAGCAGTAGTAGTAATAGTCGTAGTAGTCGTAGTACTAGTAGTAGTTACAGTAGTAGTAGGAGTCGTCGTAATACGCAGCTAGAAAACAAGATGCGCGGTAACAGCAGCGTGCAAAAGAAGCAGATGCGAGAATAGCCTTTGCTGGCGCAATCCCACATCGCTGTAGGGATGTTGTGCACAAGCAATGGTGCTGCAGATGGCAAGCAAGGCAGAGATGGCAATACATATTGAAAACATGACCGCCGCAGCACCAATAACACGTTTGGACATGTTCGAATATCTCTTAGCTGCTGGGTACGAGCTCTGTAACCTTTTAGGGGGAGGCGCTTAACTCGCATACCCGCGCATGACGTGCCCCCCTTAAGTATTTCTCCCGGGCACTCTTTATATCCCGACAACAAGCCCAAGATGTGCCTGCCAATACCACCCGACGGCTGCGACTTTCGCCAAGACCAGCCGAAAGACCCCAAAGAGATCTCACGAATCATATTGCTGTCCTCGCGGGCAATGAGAAGTTTCAAGAACCCCCGACGGGCCCTCAAGGGGCCAGTGACTATTTTGCTGTTTTCTGGAAAGGTGGTAACGCATGTTATCTGGGGGGAGGGGGGGGGAGCAGCGGAGGGGTATGACACTCAAGGCGGTTGCGGCGTGCCACTGCCAACTGATGCTGGGCCTTCCCGCGACCACATGATGCCCGCGGGCACGACAGTCTCCACAGTAGTGCGCCGGACCCCAACAATACCACAAAGTGAGCGATAATAACGAGCCTATGAGGAACGCACTGGCCCGACAGCGCCGCACCATGCGTGTGACCACCACAAGCTGCTTGCGATGAGGACCACGCCACCCATCCAGTACCCCCAGCCTGGACGCCCTGGATCACCAGGTCAGGATTGGAGGTCCTGGCTGGGGGTGGGAGTGGTTTGCGCTGTCCTCATGCGAGCATCTCCGTGCGCCTGCGACCACCACAGAGGCCTGCGAGCGCCGCGGCGTGCATGTCAGGGCCACATCGTGCTTGCGATTGCAAGACGGCGAAGATACAGGCCAGCGAGCCCGGGCGCATCGCAGTTGCACACCTCCACGCATCATCGCACTATGCATGTGTACGTGTGCGCAAGACGTGCAGCAACTGGGAAGATGAGGTTTGGGCTGCTGAACGGCTCCATGCGCTTCCCTCTCTCTCTCTCTCCTCCTCCTCCTCCTCCTCCTCCTCCTCCTCCTCCTCCTCCTGCGTTGAGTCTCGACAAAGCCTATATTCCTATATTGTTGTTGTCATCGTTGTTGCACTACAATGAGATTGGGGTGGCAATAACGTGCCGATACCGCTACTCCCAAGACCTCTCCAAGGGTGCGCTGTGACCAAGATTTCGAAGCGAATCCAGCCGTAACGACCATGGGTGGCGGTATCGGCACCTTTTCCTCCTCTAAGATATTGCAACCATCCAGCGGCGAAGGAAGCTAAACTGTGTCAAAAGCACAATAGCCTGGAACGCTCGCGCATTCTTTGATGTCGTGCGGGCATTTGCTTTCGCAAGATCATGCAGGATGGTCCTCGATGGTCCTCGTCTCCGAAAAATGCACACGTCCGAGCGATACCAAGGAATAGGACCATACAAAGATTGCAGAGGCTCCAAAGAAGGTCCCATGGAATATGCAGGGGGGCCCAGCAGGATCGCATGGGAGCTGAGACGAAAGAGCACCACCGCAGCTTGCGAGCACCACAGCATGCGTGTGAGAGCGGCTTCCGGGTGTTACCCTGGAAGGAGGGGTGGAAAATGCATTAGGCCTCCAAGGCGGCCCTAGAAGGCACCAAGTATCGAAACACGTGCTGTCCAATGCTCTTGCTTCCCACGTATCGGGCGCGTCCGAGCGGGAGGCGTCCAAGAGGGGGGCCGCAAATCATTACCGAAGCATGTGCGCGGACTAGGGGGAGATCAGGGGACGCATTGAAATAAGATGAGGGGACCATGAAATCTGGGGACACATCATGGCCCTGGCCATGATATCCAACCCCCTAGTCATCACCCCTCCTCGTGGCCGCCTCCGAGCAGTGTCCCTCAAAAACGATGCTGGACACCTCCTGGGCTCGGCGGCGAGCGAGGGGGGGGAAATGAGAAGGAGGAAGCCTTCTCAGAAGGCGGCGGGACTTCTCAGAAGCCCTCGCGCCTTCTGGGAATGCTGCTGTGTCTTCTGGGAAGGCTCAGAAAACCTCTCGGACGCCCCGGGAACTTCTGAGCCTTCTGAGAAAGCCTTCTTCTTCTCACTTACCCCCAGGCTCGCCGCCGATGGGCACCATCCCGACCCGTCTCCCGAGCCGCGCCAAGGCCGTGGCGGCGAGGGAGGCCCCCAGAGGCCGAGAGGACCTCGGCGCTGTCGCCGCCGCCGTCTTCGCGCGCTCGCCAGGGCCTGGGGATCGGGTCGCTGTGGTGGGTGACGCCTGCAGCCCGCACGTGCATTCCGAAACGGTGGATTTGAGCACGATCAATACTGAATTGGGGAGGGAGGCCGCAGGCGCTGGTGGCCCTAATTCTGCCACGTTCTCGCACGCACTGCAGGCGACCGCCAAGCCTGAAGCAAGCAGAGGCCTCGGAAGAAATGTGCGAACACTCATGCCACATTCATATGTCAATGCCCTCCCGCATGGATCAGATAAGGCGCGGGGCTGAATGAGTTGCACTTCGATCGCAGTCTTCCCAGCGCGTGCCAATTTTGGAACCTGGGGAAGAGGATAAGTGTCAACTACGGTCGGTTAGCGCGGCGTCGGCGCGCAATTCGACATCGTGTCGATCGTTCAGCCTTGAACCGATAACGACCCCGATCGTTCAAAATTGAATTCCGTCAAGTCCTGTGGGGCTTTACCGTGTCCCTCGGTGCTTCCGCGTCGTTCTGAGATGCGGAGTTCAACCTTGAACGCCATTGCTGGCGTCGCTGGCGCGCCAACGCCGCACGAACGTCTCCCTCTGCGGTAACAGCAGTGGGACGCGGGCCTCTGTATCGGGTCCGTGTGGTGCGTGAGCGACATGGCGAGGTCGAACGACCTCGGCGCGCTCCCGCGGCGCGCCCGCCGCCCGCGAGGGCGGGCGCCTCGAGCGGGGAGGAGGGGGGCAGGGAGGCAGGGAGGGGCGAGAGGGAGGGAGGGGCGAGACGGAGGCAAGGAGGGGCGAGGGGGAGGGGCGGGAGGGGTGGATGACGGGGGTTTGGAGGGCTTTGGGGGAGAAGAGGGAGGGAGGGAGGGAGGGATTTTCAAGGGATGGAGGGAGAGATGGAGAAGAGGGAGAGAGCGTGATCCACCGCCGCTTTGCTGTGGAAAACTCCCCCCCCTCTTCCTCCGAACCCGGGAATTCCCACCCACCCTCCGAAAATCTTCCCCACCCCCTTGCTCGACCCCCCCCGCCCTCCTCCCCCTCCCCCTGCAATCCCCCACCCCCAACCCCCCCCCTCCCCTCTGGAAAACCGGCCGGGGGGGGGAGGGGTCACTACCGATTCGACCCCCCCCTCCCGAAAACCATTGGGAAATACTACCGGTTCGAATGCCCCCCCTCCCCCCCTACTCGCCGCCGCCGGCAAACGACTCCCGGGTCCCCACCACCGTCCTCACCACCGCCCTCCCCACTGTTCCCACCACCACCGTCCCCACCACTGTCCCACTGCTATCCACACTGTCCCCAAAACTGTCCGACGGTCCCCAATGTTCCCACCACTGACCCCACTGTCCCCACCAATGCCCCCCCACTGTCGCACTGTCCCCAATGTCCCCACCACTGTCCCCACCACGGCCACTCTCCCCACTGTGCCCACTGTCCCCACCACTGTCCCACTGTTCCCACTGTCCCCACCACTGTCCCACTGCCCCCACTGTCCCCACCGCTGTCCCACTGTATTGTCCCTCTGTCCCCACTGTCCCCACCACTGTCCCACTGTCCCCAACACCACTGTCCCCAACACCACCGTCCCCACCGCTGTCCCACTGTCCCCACCACAGGCTCACTGTCCCCACTGATCCCACCATTGTCCCCACTGTCCCCACCAATGCCCCTACCATTGTCGCACTGTCCCCACTGTCCCCACCACTGTCCCCACCCCACGGTCCCGCTTTCCCCACTGTCCCCACTGTCCCCACCAGTCCCCCATCTGGAGTGGTGGAGGGAGAATCATTTGCCGGCGGCGAGGAAGGGGGGGGGTTCGAACCGGTAGTGACCTCGAACCGGTAGTGACCCCCTCCCTTTTCATGATGGACTGGGGGAGGGGGGGGGGTGGAACCCCCAGTGACACCCCTCGGTTTTCGAGGGGGAGGGGGGGGAGGAAGGGTTGGACCCCCCCCGTGCCCCCCCCCCGGTTTTCTGCCAGCAGCGGCAGAACACGCTCTTCCAGAAGTGTGAGAGATTTGAGAGGAAGGGATTTTCGGAGGGATTTGAGAGAGCTTGAGAGAGCGGGAGAAGAGAGAGAGAAGAGAGAATGTTTGACAGATTTCGGAGGGAGGGAGGGGGCTGGACTTTGCGTGCGCAACGCGACCCTACTCCCATCGGCAGATTGGTCCCGAGCAGTGGAGCAATCGGCCAGAGAGCGAAAGGTCGAGGCAAGTACTCGGCGTGGGAGCTGCGATCACGGATGGCCAGGGAGGGAGGGAGGAGGAGGAGGAGGAAGAGGAGGAGGATAAGGAAGAGGAAACTAATCAAGGCGGAGTGGGACGAGGAGGGAGGGGAAGGGAGGGAGGGAAGGAGGAGGAGGGAGGGAGGAGAGGTCCAGCAGCCGAGGGGGGGGCGGAGGGGGAGAGGGGGGGCTCGGCTCCTCCTGCTTCTCCTCCTCCTCCTCCAGCTGCTGTACCCCCTGCTCCTTCTCCTCCTCCTCCTCCTCCTCCTCCTCTTCCTCCTCCTCTAGCTCCTGCTCCTCCTGCTCCTCCTCCTCCTCCTCCTCCTCCTCCTCCTCCTCCTCATTCTCCTTCTCCTCCTGCTCCAGCTGCTCCTCCTACTCCTGCTACTCCTCATCCGTCGGGCCACCGTGTCCTCCAGGTTGGTGACACCAAGAAACTGGGCCCACTAATGGGGCTCAGGCACCCCAAAGCCATACTACCTCAAGTCCTCCTCCTTGTCCGAGCCTCTGGGCACCCCTCATCTCAACGGCTGAGCGCGGCTCGAAAAGCGTGTGGGAACGGTGCACGGGGAGGGCCCAGGAACCAACATTGAGCGCAATCTCCTAAGGGGCTTGCTGATTCTTCCGGGTCGATGCTCCCTTGGGACTGGGGATCTGGCGGGAGGGTTCCTGGGATGCCAAAAGCGGCACCAAACCTCAGGACCCCTTCCCTGGTGGATCTACGGCCTTGCGGTCCAGACTTCCTGGCCGCGACCCTATGGATACAGGGCAGCACCGCGCGGATGCACCGCGCGGAACGTATCCATGGGATCGTGTATCCAATGAAGCACGCCTCGGTATCTGGCCCGCGAGGGCATAGACTTGAATCTGTTTTCGTCGCTCGCGAGGACCCCCTCTTCTCGTGGACAATCCGCCGCGCGAGGGGCCCAGGGTAGGCAGGGATTCCGTCCGGCCGGCGGTCGCGGGCTCCACGGCAGCGCGGGCGGGCTAGGACGGCTGGCAAGTCCATCGCAGACTGCGCGGCGCCGAACCTGGCGGGGACGCCAGGAGGAGGGAGCGGGGGAAAAGCAAGCTAGGCGACCTCACGCCAATTTCTGTCATCCTGCCCCTCCCACCCTCCTTTCCCATCGCGCTCCGTGAGGTGGCCCTCCGCACCCAACGCATCCCCCCCCTCGTTCTTTGCAAACTGCCGGAACCACTGGGGCGGCACGGTGTCTCGGGAGAACGACTCCACAACGAGTCGGGTGGCGTGAGCGGACAGGTCCCACAGGCAGCTCTCCACCTCGGGCTTGAAGGACACCTCGCTGGAGGGGCGCGGGCACGGGGACGAGGACGAAGACGAGTACAAGGGTAAGGACGACGACGACGGCGACGACGACGACGACGACGACGAGGGGAGGAGGGAGTGGAGAACCAGGGGAGATGGCGAGAACGAGGAGGACGAGGAAGGCGAGGATCATGAGAAGAACGAGGGTAAGGACGATGACAACGATGGCAAAGGCGAGGAAGCAGAAGAGCCGGAGGAGCGGGACGGGGAGACACCCAGGCTGCCTTGCAAGTCGTGCGTTCGACCTCTGGTCGGGCCGCGTGAGCAGACGGGAGTGCTCGTCCAACGTTGCGATCCTCCTCCTCCTCCTCCATCGATTTGAGGATTTCCAGATAGGAGTCGGAGGATCGCGCCGCATCGGCGATGCATCGCCGCACCATCGAAACCGACGATGTGTCGTCGACATCGGCGTGGAGAAAATCGGGTTCCTAATCGAGATGCATCGCCGATGCATCGGCGATGCGGCGCGATCCTCCGACCCTATCTACACCGACCCCATATGGGAGGTCTACATAGATATGCATCATCATCCTCATCCTTAGAACGTCCTGGCATCCTGTGCATAAAAACTCATGCGCAGCCGATACAATCTGCCAAAAGCGTCCCTCCCTCGCTCAGTCCGTATCACTCCCTTACCGTCCTCCGCGTCCTCCTCCCTGATTCTCCTCATCCTGGTCCGCCTCACCCTTGTGCTCCTTCTCCTTTTTGAAATAATCCAAGACCGCTCGAAGGTTGCGTGTTGACCAAAATTGCTGGGAATTCTAGGTATTCGGCAGGTGCCCAGCCGTGTTGGGCGTCGCTTGATGGGGCGCGGTAATTTGGTGAGGGAGAAAAGGTGGCACATCTCGGGCCCTAAAACGACCCCCTTCTTGGCATAAGGCCTCCTTCTGGACCTAAAATGGTCCCTTTGGGGGCCTGAAGGGCCCTTTCTCTACAGCCCTCGCTACCCCCCCCCAATTTGATCGCCCCCACAATACGCGACGTAAGACGAAGCCAGGACGAAGAAATTCGGTGAGAATAAATCGAGAATCTCTGAGATCCGGCGGCTCTGGAAAATGTCTCGGGCGCCGCGGCACTCTCAGAGCGTTTCAGAAAGCTCTGGAAAAAATCCGGAAAGCTCTGGAACCAATGTATCCTCGTCCTGGCCTCGTCCGACCCAATTTACGTTACGCGACGCCAAGCAGTGGGCGCCCTGTGCGCTGGCCGGGAACTCTCGGCTCTCGGTTGGGCGTGGGCTTCCCGTGCGCGAGCAGGCAGCTCCGGTCTTTTTTCTGCCCGTGCTCGGCCGTTGGCACCTCGTGTGAATGATAGGTTGGGGGGGGGACTGGCACTTTGGGGGGGAGACGTCGACCTGGAATCGGTGATGCATTGCCGATAGATCGGCGGGTGGCTCCCAGCAGCGAAGCCGCACGTTCCTGGGCGGGGTGGGGCCATCCGACCCCTATCGGCGATCAGAGGGCGATTGGGGACCAATGCATCCCCCCTAGGCCTATCCCCCCCTTTGAGCGGGGACCGACCGTCCCGGCATTCCTATAGGCCTACCACGAAACGTTCGTAGAATCCAAAAATTTTCGAATAACAAAAACAATGCTATTAGAACATAGACGCGATGTGTGAAAACAACACAGACTGAGCCAAACATGTTCTAAGAATATTCCGTGCAAACCACAAAAGGTTCTTAGACCATTCTTTGGTGGGCCTATAGGCGAGCCAGAACGCTTCGCCACTGCTTGACCCCTGTCGTTGCCCCAGGTCGTGGGCGCCCCTTGCGCTGGCTGAGATGTCCGGGCGTTTGGCGGGCCGGCCGCTGGCGCCTCGTAGCCAGCCGCGGCGACGAGGAGACTCAGGGACGCTCCGTCACAAGGAACAACGTCAAACGAAGTCGATCCACAAATTGCAAATAGCGCAAGTCTGGAGCCTCGTCCGATATCGAGTCCCTGCCCCCTCCCTCGTCCGTCTGCCCTATCTCCCTCTCTTGTCCCAGCCTTCTCCACCTTGCTCTCTCCTCTCCCCCCTACTCCCTCGACTCCCTCCTCCTCGCTCGGAGGTGAGAAGAGAAGTGCTTCTCTCATCTCCTCACTCCACCCACCCTCCTCATCCTCCTCCTCGCCCTCCTCCTGCTCCTGCTCCTCCTCCTTATCATCATTGTTTCTCCTTTTAACTAACTCCTCCCTGTCGCACAGCGAGAGGACCGAGCCAGGCGTTTCGCCTGAGACCTCCTCACCATCTATGACCCTGAACCTTAGAAAGTGGCAGCAGTTTCGCGGATTGAGGGCGGGTGGTTTTCAACATGTGGTTCACGCCTTAGCGCCGCGCGCATTCGTTTCTTAAACTATTGCAAAGGTTTCATGGATTGAAGGCGATTGGTTTTCAAAATGCGGTTCTCGCTTGAGCGACGCGTACATTCTTTCTTGAAGACTCGCGAGAGTTTCACTGATTGAAATTGGCTCGGTTTCAAACATTGTTTTCTCCTTCGCACCGTGCACATGCATTTTAAACATATGCCAGAATTTCGCGTACTCCCATGGTCGACGTGCCCGAAAGGATGTTCCGGAAGGGCTCAAGATTGTGAGGGAGCAACAGTTACGTTCATTCGCGGCCTTGAAGTCCCAGGAATGGTGTTATGGCAAGATTCTGGATCGTCAAGGCGCAACAGTCATGTTGATTCGTGGCGTTGGAGTCCCCAGACTAGTGTTTTGGCACACTTCAGGGCCTTCAAACGGTTCTTTCCTAACGAGGCAGTTCCGTCAGTGGGCATGGACCTTTTGTACGGGCCTATGACGAGAGAGCTTCAAGGAGGGTTTATTCCAACATCGTTGATGAGTCTTGGGTTTCCACTGGTCCTCCTCCTCCGCCTCCGCCTCCTCTTCCTCATGCCCTTTATCCCTTTTCCTCCTCCCCCTCCCCCCCCCCTTCCTCGTCCTCTTCCGTCTGCCTCTGTCCTCCTCATCCCTCCCCATCTCCCCCCTCCCCTCCCCCGTCCATCCTCCTCCCACATCCTGCCCCCTTCGCAGCGGTGGCGACGAGGGCCTCCCAGGAGGCCAAAAACGGCGAAAACGAGGCGAGGGTAGCGGTGTCGGTACCTTTTCCTCCTCTGATTTCCTCCTTGCCCCCAACGGCCCCTCCCTTCCCTCGCCTTGGCGCAGGTCTGGAGCCGCTGCAGCAGCTGGCAAAGCAGGCGCGCCCTCTCCAGCCGTTCCGCTGGGTTCGCGCCGCAGCAGGCGCCACCGGGGCCCACGGCCTCGCCGCAGGATCGTCATCGCCGTCGTCGACACAAAACGAGAAGGATGATATTTAGATGAAGGATGGGGGAGGAGGGATGAGGGATGAAGGGAGAGGAGTGAGGGATGAGGGACCAGGCATGAGGAGTGAGGGGTGAGGGATGAAGAATGGGGGATAAGAGACGAAAGATGAGGGATGGGGATGGGGGATGAAGGATAAGCTATAAGGGGTGAGGGATGCTGGAGAACGGATGGGGGGTGAGGGGTGCGAGACGAGGGATGAGGGATGAGAGATGCGGGATGAGGGGTGAGGATTGAAGAAAGGGATGGAGGACGAGGGACGAGGGATGAGGGATGAGGGGTGCGGAATGCGGGATGAGGGGTGAGGTGTGAGGGATGAAGGATGAGGGATGAGGGATAAGAAATGAGGGGTGAGCTACGGGGGAGAAGGGATGCGGTACGAGGGACGAGGGGAAAGGGGTGAGGGATGAGGGGTGAGGGATATAGGGGTGAGGGCTGAAGGGTGAGAGATGATAAGGAGGGATGAAGGATCAGGGATGAGAGAGATGATGATGATAATGATGATGAGGAGGATGATGATGGTGATGCTGCTGATGATGATGATACTGATGATACTGATGATGATGATGGTGCTGGTGGTGGTGATGATGATGATGAGAATGATGATTGATTCAGCCCCATTCGTTGAGCCCTCTGCCAATGCCAACATCAAGAATACTTCGAAGAAGAGGCTCATTGCCCGAGCGAGCGACAGAACGGAAAGAAACGCCCATCCCAACGGCAACTCCCATCCTCCGGAGCAACTGCCGACGTCGACCGTGTTCCGTTACCGCCGCGCTACGAGACCCACCAGGAAGATCCGCGCGGACAACTTGATCTGATGGATCGGCGCGGTCCGCTTCATCAGAGAGCTCGGCGCGACAGGCTCCCGAAGAACCAGTCGGTAGCGCAGGGGCGCCGATCGCCATCGCGAGAGCCATGTCCAGGGAGACGCGGGCCAGCAATTGTTTCGCTGCTGGCTATTGAACGGCACGATCTTCGTCATCAACAAGAACGGCCCAAAAGACGACCGCATGAAGATCGTCACGAACAGCTTGACCCACATAACCAGGGAGATCCGCGCAACAAAGATGATCCGCATAACCAAGAAAATCACAACGACACGGTGGAATAACCGCACGTCCAGTAAGATCCGCAGGACTTCCGAAAAGACCAGCACAACCAAGAAGATCGGCAGGACAAAACAGAATATCCGTACAAAACGCAAGGCCCGCAGGACCAGGAAGATCCGCACAACCAGGGAAAACCGCAGGACAAGGAATATCACCACGGCCCGGTCGAAGATCCGCACAAGCAGGAAGACCAGCAGGACCTCCGAGAAGATCAGCAGAACTAAAAAGATCCGCGCGACCATGAAAATCCGCAGGAACCCCGAGAGGATCAGCACAACCAAGAAGATCAGGAATAAGGCCCGCACAACCAGGCAGGTCAACAGGACCTCGAAGATCCGTACAATCAGGAAGAACCGCAGGACCAGGAAGATCCCCCGCAACCTGGTCGAAGATCCGCACGACTAGGAAGATCCGCAAAACCTCCAAAAGATCCGCAGACCAAGGAATATCCGCAGGACCAAGAAGGCCCACAGGAGCAGGAATATCTGCACAACCATGACGACCCGCAAGACCAAGAAAGCGGTCGTCATTATCATCTTTGTCCGGGTTGATGGCTTCGTGGCCAAGAGCACCCAAGAAGACCGCGTACTGATCCTCCTCGACACGGGTGACAATGTCGCCCGCGGCGTTGGCGTGAAAGGAGGGGACGATGGCTGGGAACGCCTATGAAGTGGCCAGGGACGAACTCAGGTGCCTCGCGTCGGAGCTCAGACACGACTCCCGCCTGCTCAACTTCGTTCTTCTCGCACTTGTCCAAGAAGACCTCGTGCGCCTCTGTAGCGGCGCGGCGAAAGAGGCGACGGTCACGGCGATAGACACGGTCGCCGACCGCCCAGCACGCCTGACTCAGCGCCTGTGTCGGGTAAAGCACGTTCCGCTGCAGAACTTCACAATGAAAACGGTGTCGGCGGATGCCGGCAAGGAACCATCGATGTCGTGGTACGCGTCTTCCTCGAGGATGCGCGCCCAGGCAGCCAACACGTTGTACTTCGAGGGCATATTGTGCTGGAGTGGTAGCTGGTCACGCAGCCAATCAGCGGTCAAGCAGGAACCTCCGAATCAAGAAACTCAAGCTTCCTGAGCGCGCCTCCGGTCCATGGGCGGAGAGGCTCGCCTCCGGTCTATGAGCAATGGGGCTCGGAGAAGGCAAAGGATGGCTTGAGCAAAAAGGGCTACGGATGATGACGAGGAGGAGGAGGGGGACGAGGAGGAGGAGGAGAGGGAGACGGAGAGGGAGGAGAGAGGAGGGATGAAAGGGAGCAGGGGGGGGGGGAGGAGGAGGGAGGATAAGGGCGAGGAGGGATGGCGAGAAGGAAGGTGAAGGGGGAGGGATAAAGAAGGGATGAGGGAGGAGAGGTAAAGAGGATGGAGAGGGAGGGGGAAAGGAAGGGGAAGGAGGTCGTCGTCGTCGTCGTCGTCAAACGGTCAATCGGCGGTATAGCCGAGGTCAGCGTGCCCAGGACGAATCTTATGGGGAAAGAGGAGGGAGGAGAGGAGGATGAGGGAGAAGAAGACGGAGGATGAGAAACGCGGGAGAAAGGGAGGGGAGGCGCGAGGGGCAGGAGGAGGGGGTGAAGCAACGGCCCTCTCTGAACCTTAAACTGCGCTGTTCCGCCCTGGAACGCCCGGCGCTGGGCCGTCGTGATCATAGCAGCTGCAAGGTCACAGACAAAGGTACAGAGTTGGGCATCAGATCGTCTGAATGCGGGTGCGGTTGTGAGGCTTAAAAAATTAAAGGCTGTGCAGAAATGGTACATGGTTAGGCTGTATAAAGCGCAAGACTGTGCAGCCATCAGCGTGGATATCCGACACCGTGCCCTGAGGCAAAAATTGGAGCGTCCTCTCTCTTGAGCCCTCCGTCCTGTCCTGAATAAAATCAGAGTGAGGGGCCCGACCAGTCATTCACTGTCGCTGGGTACGTGGGTGAAGTGGGCTTCTGCTGTGCCGATTGTTGTTACTGTTGTTGCGTTGCGTTGCGTTGGTGTCGTCCTCTCCCGCGACCCGCCAGCGACCCACCCCGCGACTATCCTGCGACCCAACCTGCGACCCACTCTGCGACTCAACCGCGACCCAGCCACGGTGCTCTGACGAACAAACGGCGCCTGCGGCGGGCTCAGTGAGTAATGCAGAGCTTCGCAGACTGCCAGTTGCGGGGGGCTATGTTTTAAGGGGCCCCGACCAAACAATTCTTGAATAGTCTCAGCTTCCCATATGCCGAGGCGTGTCCCCGCAGGACATGTTCGGAACCACGCGGGCCCCAAAAACGGACCAAGAGGGCCCCAGGAAGCACCCAAGGCGATCCAAGAGGGCCCTGGGTCCGCCCCAGAGCGCTCCAAGATTCCCAAGATGGCCTCACGACGGGCAGAGAGGCCTCCAAGATGCCAAGAGCGCCCTCCCAAGAGGGCCTCAAGGCCAAACTTATTGACCGTCCGTATGTTGTTGAACGATTCTAGCGTCCTGGCGTTCTGGGGATCCCGACGCTCCAAGACGGCCCAAGAGGCCCTCGAAAGGCTTTCAAAATCGCCCCAAGGGGCCCCCAAGAGGTCCCCAAGACGGCCAAAGAAGTCCCCGAAACGGCCCAAGAGGCCCTCAAGACGGACCAAGAGGGCCCCAAGAGGGGCCCAAGAGAGGCCTCAGAGGGGAAACACACACCGACAGTTCGAGACCTCCACCTGGGACCGCCAGCAGGCTCCTACGAGGCCCCCTTAAGCTGGGAGGTCTCCAAGAGGCGCAAATCAGGCCCCGCGACCCCCCCCAAGAAGCCCCCCCAAAGCCGAAACGACACCGTTAAAAGCGCATCCGAGAGGTCTCCGAGAGACCTTCCAAGAGATCCCCACAGGCATCCAACCAAGAGGCTTCTGACCTACAACCTAGGCACGGTGGCGGCATTGGCCGATAATACTACCCTTCATGGCTACACGAGAGACGGATCGGGGATCTTCTGACCCGGGTCAATCCAGACCCGGGTCAGCAAGAAACCAAAAAACTGCAATGCAAGGAAAAACATGCAACGCAGGTCTTCGCAAACCCGGGTCAGCCAATATGCGCGGCCGCCTCGCGGCCACGAGCGGCTCGCTAACCCGGGTCAGCCGGAGGGGGTCATTTGCAAGATCCTGCAAGATCCGATGCCCTGGCTGACCCCCGTGTGCATTGACCCCCGTCTCAAGGCTCCCGAAGTGAAATGCAAGTCAGCACGCAGGCCCACGAATGCGTCCATCCAGGTGCCACAATGTGCAAGTTACACGTCGTGGACTGACATGGCTCGCAGGTGGACGATATTACATGCGTCAGCGTCTACCAACTCCGAGTGGGAAAATAATCGCCACCCCCTTGGGTCGAGGGGGGGGGGATGGGCGCGTGCTGTCGGAAGAGGGTTGCGGGGATGGATTCGCGTTGAGGAACCAGGTGGAGGGAATGGGGAAACTCTGTCGAAAGGTTAGTCAAACCCTCCCCAATGATTCCCCCATCCATGGTAAAATTGACTGCGAATCCATAAACACACATTTTCATCACAACGATGTCACACGACTGGGTCCGCTGTGTACGCATTCGACGCCCTGCAATTAGACAAGGCATTCTGGATGTTTAAGGCCATGCTTCCAAATATTGGCAACATGCTTGACTTTTTCAGGTGAACGTGTCCGCTCACGATGTCCGGTCTGCAATCCACCACAAAAATGAAGCAACACACATCCCCATCTCCTTCTCCCCCTTCCCTCCCCCTCCTCCTCTGGGTGTGCATTCGCGTGGCAATTGAGGGATATCGCCCGAGCCTTCGCGTGGAGAAGGTGGTGATGAGAAAAGCAAGGATAGATCTACGATGACGAGAGACTGCGGGCAGCCGCCCCAGCTGTGCGGCGCTCAAGGTTGGAACGCCGCGCTCGCGCAAGGGCATCGGCCGGCAACCTCATCCAGAGGCTGAAGGTGGGGGCTCGAAAAGGTCGAGGCGGAGCTGCACCGCGTTCGCGCACAGCCTGTCCTACGGCGGCTGTTGTGCTCTCGTGCTCTGTTTCGACGGGCTACCTACGAGGAGGTCCTGGCGGGTCCGTGGCACCTTGGCGGTGTCGCCCCCTGGCCCAAGACGAAACCAGGACGAGGACACATTCGGGTGAGAATGAATCGAAAAGCTCTGAGAGTTGGCGGCTATGGAAGATACCTCGGGCACCGCTGCCTTCTCAGAGCGTTCTGGAACGCTCTGGAACCGATTTATCCTCGTCCTAGCACAGCCCGGAGATCGGTCCCCCGTGCAGCTTCGCAGGGCTCGACCTAAACAGTGTTTTACGTTTTCGTGTTGTTTTCGAGTTCCCCTCTGTTTTCCTCGTTCCGCCTTTGCTGAAACAAAAAGTTAAAACGAAAACGGTCCACGAGATCGCTAAAACACAGTTGAGGTCGCGCCCTGCAGCTCAGTGAAAATCCTGCAGACCGTGACGGGACCGAGTATAGCTCGCACGCTTTCCTCGCCTTCTGGGCACGCATCGGCCATCCGCGGGCCTAATCTCCTAGATGGCGGAAAAAGATAAGGATTTGGACGCCCGAAGTTGCCGGCGCCTGGGCGACAGCAACATTTTCAATCAGATATGTAGCCCACGCACAAGCCAGAGCACCATTCCGAGACATGCGCGTTGCTAAAAGACTCGGTGTCATCTAGGTCTGGGTTACGTTAGGTGGGTAAGTAATCCACGTAAGGGGGGGTACCCAAAAAACTGGGTACGATGTCCCACTCGGCGGCAAGCGATGGGGGGAAGTGAGAAGGAGAAGGCCTTCTCAGAAGGCGGTGGAACTTCTCAGAAGCTATCGCGCCTTCTGAGAGGTTCTTTGTCGCAGAAGGTTTAGACGCGCGATGTCAGCGCAGCGCCGCAAAGCGCAGCGCCTCTCTCTCTCTCTGCCTCGTCCTGCCGCGAGGCCTCTCGCGGAGGCGCCTTAAGAAGCACGGGGCACGTCGCGACGGCGCGCAGGGTTTTGGCGTTGCTTGGGCTGCGATCGGGGATCAAAGCGTCCAGCAGAGAAAACAAAACAACTCGATGTGGGCGTAGTGGCCTCGTGCAGGAGTGGCTGGCGAATGCGGTACTCAGCCTGGCAACGAGCACTGAACAAAAAGCAGGTGAGCCCGTGAGGGCATAGAGCAACGTCCTGGCCGACAGCGCTCCCGACAGCTGAGTCTGAGCTCGCGTTCGCGCGTGAGCGTGCAGAGGAAGCGTGCAGAGGAAGCCAAGTCAAGTGTTTCACGAATAAGTGTCTCGACAGGGCCATGCGGTCACTCAAAACAAAACTGCGTGCGTAGGGGCGTGCCTCGACCAGAACATTCACAGAAGGCCATCCAGAGGGAAGCACCCTGGAGCTGAGTGCAACCACGGTCGGCTGGCAACACTAAGACAAATACTTTAGCCTCGACCGTGTTGGAACATGTGCAGCTGCAAACAAACTGGCGGATAGCCTGATGGCATGACAATTTATCTCTGCCAGCAACTCAGCTTGAGGTGTTGCAAGCATATTTGGTACTATCCCTCGCAGGCGTCATACACATAATCTGCGTCATTTAACGTGTCAATACAGTTCGTCGGTTTGGTGGTAATGTGCAAGCGTGGCCTTCCAAGAACAAGTCTGCCTCGCCAGAGCTTTGCTGCTTTGTGTTGATGTGATCATGACTGTAACTCGTTGTAGAGGCAATTAGATGGCCGACTCTGCTGGCATATTGCGACTACTTTAAGGCGGGAAAATCATGGTAACCGACCCAGCCGCGAAAACTCAGCACTCCGAGACTGCACACGTTCCTGCGCCTCCTCCTCCTCCTCCTCCTCCACCTCTGCCATCTCCAACCCCCCCTTCTTCACCTCATTCTCATCTGTGATCGTCCCTCCCTCCCGGCTTTCCTCCTCATTCCTCCTCTCCGTGTAGCGAACCCAGGCTGGCTCCGATAGGATCGAGACTCGTCCTACACCTCGACCGTGCTCCTCCCACTCCGAGTCCTTCTCCACTCTCCCTCCTCCATTCCCCCCCGAGAGAGGGGAGCAGGGATGTGGGGAAGGGAGAGAGGGAGTCTTGGTTTGGTTGTAGACTCCGCCTGCCTGGAATTGTCCGAGGAGAAAGAGGAGGAGGTGGAGGAGGCGGGTCAAGGGGGAGGGAGAAGGAGGGAACGACGACGACGACGACGACGACGCGAGAGGGCTCCGCCCCAACCCCTCGCTGAAGGGCAGAAAGAGCGACGTGACATGCCCACCCAGACCCCCCGCACGCCCACCCCCTCCCGCGGGCCGCGGGGGCCGTCGGCCTCCTTGACGCGCGGGAGCATTGTGGCCGCCTCGGAGGCGGCCGCGGCTCCTGGGAAAGGGCGGGGGGGGGGGGCGGGGCGAGGCCGGGAGCGCCGAGGCGTCGCGCCCTGGCCGGCCACCGAGGGAGGCCGCCGGTCGTCGGCCAGCGGCCTCGCGCCTAGGCGTGCTCGGCGCGGGGTGGTGCGGGGTGCAGACGGCGGGGCGCAGGGCGGCGCGGATAGGTCCCCCCCTCCTCCCAACCGCTGGCGTTGTTATCCCTGTCGCTGTTATCGATGTTATCGTGTGATCGCTGCTGTCGTTGTTACCGACGTGATCGTTGTCGCTGTGATCACTGATGCCGTTGTCGTTGTTATCGTTGTAACTGGTCGTTGCCCCCATCCCCACCCCACCCCACACCACTGACGGACGAACAACACAAACTCAGGCCTATAGAAGGGGGTCGGAACGAGGAGGACTGGCTATGCGTGTGTTTGCGGGTTGTCGGACCTCGAAGGGGGCCCCCGTTCGAGCGGGGACCCCCATCCGACAACACGCACCCATAGCACCCCCCGTCCCCCCTATGGGTATGGTCGTGTGCTGTTCGTTCGTCAGCGGCGGGGTAGGCCGCTGGGCTACGCGGAAGCTGCTCGTGGACGGGCAACTCGCGCCAGACCTGGCAGGCGCGCTGCGCACGGAGCTCGCCGGCGGCGTGGCCACGCAAACGGTAGCAGCCAAGTGGGGCAAACCGACGCTGTGCCCCTCGACCACCGCTTCTGGCGGTGCCCGTGCTGGCAGGAGGCGAGAGAGGCTGCCCTGCGCGCCACTGGGGCCTCCGCGCGGCCCTGCCGCCCAGCGTCGCGAGCACGGGTGTCCTTCCGGAGGGCCTGGTCCTCCGCGCGCTGGCAGAGGTCGCCCGCGAGCCCATCCTGCCCCGCCGCTGCCCGCTGTTCAGCTCGACCCGCAGCAGCGCCCGCCGCGGCGGCGCGCCTGGACAGATGGGCGCCTGTAAGCGGCCAACGGACCCGCTGCTGGCCAGAGCAGGTTGGAGAGTGCGGCTCCAGGGCCCCAACGGCGCGCAGGACAGCAGTGGGCCCGTCGACGGGCCACAGATGGCGCAGAGGGCGGAGCTGACAGCCGCCCTGCATGCGCTGAGCCTCGCGGCGAGGCCCGAGGAGGTGATGACCGACTCCCGTTTCGACAGCAACGGTATCGCGGCGCTCTGGGCGGGGGCATCCCCGGCGGAATGGGCGCACGCCGAGCTCGGAGATGCTGACCCCCACTGCCAAAGCGGGAACCTCGTCGCGCGGTGGATCAAAGGGCACCTCGACGCGGCCAGCGCCGGGGCCCACGGCATGGCCGACGACGACCGCTTTGGCAACGCGGTTGTTGACCGACTCGCGGGCGCTGCCGCGCGCGCGCGGCTTCCGCCGCCGCCTCTGGACACAGGGCGGGGCAACCGCTTGCGCGCAGCGGATGCTGGCCGGGGAGGGGTTGCCCGCCCTGAACGTCAACCACAAAGGCGCGAGCGAGGCCCCACGGGCCCGCAGACCACCGCGCCAGCGCTGCGGCCGGTGGGGCGTGCTCGGCGCGCAGCCAGGCGAGCCGCCGCATGGCCCCCCCCGCGGCCGCTGCCGTGCTGGCGCCGCCAAGCCACGCGCGCGGCAGCGACGGCAAGGCCCGGCGCGCCGCCTTGTTCGCCGGGCGGGCGTGGCTGCCGCACGCTGCTGCGCGGGGCCCAGGTTGGGTGGCCTGCGTGCGCTGCGGGGCGTCTGCGCCCTCGTGGCCGGGGCTGGCGGCGTCGCCATGCGCGGGCTGGGCCGCCGCGCTGCCGCCGCGGGCGCCAGCCTTGCTGCTGTTGCCCGTCGTCCTGGCTGGCAGGCGCAAGGCTGCCTGGCGCGAGGCGCTGCAGGTGCGCTTGGCGCATGGCCCGGGGCCGCCGGACAAATGCGTAATTCGGGCAGCCTGGGTGCTGGCTGCGTGTCCCCGCCCCCCCCCCCGCTCCTTCCCCCCCTCCCTCCCTCCTCGGCCGCCTCTCTGCCGCTGGGTTTCTTCGATGGGTGTAAAAGGTGCTGTTCGTTCGTCACCCACGACCCCTGTCGCCAGCTGAACGGCAAAGATCAAAAGCCCCCTCCATCTGACACTCGGAGAACAAGAAGAAGAAGCAGAAGAAGAAGACAAGCAGTAATAAGAAGAAGGAACACAATAATAATAATAATAATAATAAGGAGAAGAGGAAGAGGAAGAAGCAGCGCGCGTCAGAGGTGCACTGGCGAGATTTGGAATGCAACTTCTGGAAGGTCTTCGTGAGAACGGACATTGGTGGCCAAACCCCATTCGGGAGAAGCCAACATGGGCCGGATTCGGCGCGGGATTCAGCCGCACTAGCCGGGAAAAGACGAGACTAGGCCGGATCAAGCGGGACTCCGACGGATTAGGCCAGTTTTCGACCACGGATATACCAGCGCCGATGCTGACGTTAACCTCCCAGAAGATGCATCCGAACAAAAGGATGATGCAGGCCGCAATAGCCCCGGACTCTGGATGAGTGGAGGGGGAGTTGCGTCGGATTTTGGTGCAAGGGACGCTGCGCGCTCCCGACCGAGCGTTCCTCAACTTAATGTATGCGACGGCTTGCATGCATCGGGATAGCGGCATGAATCACACTGCGGAAAAAACATGTCCGATCCTACCCTCAAACAGGCACGAAACCTGTGAAGCTCGAATGAACAGGCTCCTACGTAGCGGCCTGGTGCGCGGCCAGAAAATGCAAGTCTGGCATCCCAAGGCGCAACGGCACGGAAAGAGGAGAAGGAGGAGGAGGAGGAGGAGGAGGAGGAGGAGGAAGGGACGGTGGAGGTGTTTACTTGGGCGGGGTGGGGAGTCAATCGCCGTCAGACTCAGCGCCATCTTCCTAGATGCATCCGCCTCTTACTTTACTGCAGTTTGCTGCTGATTGCCACTTCGGCACGTCGGTAGGGGACGAATACCCTTTTCTTCCCACTTTGGTCTTGCGCCCGTAACCGCCCGCCGACACCCAGTCCTAGGGCAGTCAGGGCGCGCAGGGCCATGTCGCACGACGGGCCCTTCAGTGCGGTGACCAGCTCAGGGATGGCCCGCTTCGCGTCGATGTATTCCTTCTCGGCAGCCTGCTGGATGAGCTCCTGGAGGCTCCGCGGAACACCACCGGCCAGGCAACGCGCACACACACACACACAACCAACAAACACTTGTTGCGTCGCGGCCCTGCGCGCAGCTACAAGGCGGAGAAGGTCTAAAAGCAGGAAGCGCGCGGAAACTACAAACGCTCGAGCCCTCAAATCCCGCTTTGGATCTCGCAGCCGCCAACACACACACACACACTCAACCAAGACACACACACACAGACACACACACAGCACACACACACACACACGCACACACACACGCACACACACACACACACGCACACACACACACACATACACACGAAAACACAAATCATGCCCGAGAGGTGTGCGCAAGCCTGCACTCGCAGTTCGGGGCCGCACGCGTGGAGGTGGGGGGGGAGGGCAGGCTGAAGCCAAAGCAATGGATCGGTTAGATCAGGAAGACCGTCGCCTTCTGAATGAAGAGGACTGTCCCCGCACAAATGTCCACGATCCTCCTCCTCCTCCAACTCCTCCTCCTCCTCACCTCCTCCGCCTATTCCTCCTTCCCCTCCTTCTCATCCTCCTCCTCGTCCTCCTCCTTCTCCTACTCCTTTTCCTCCTCCACTCCGCCTGCCTCTCTTCCTTCCTCTCCCCCCCTCTCGGCTCCACAGTCACTCAATATGAAGACTACCTCCTCTCCCCGAACTAGTGTTACGCATATGAGCTCAAGAGTCACACGTAGTTCTCCACATGCTCTGGATGCAGCGTTAGCCACAATGCAAGATCGGCGCGTTGCTCCCGTCGTTGAGAATGGCGCTCTGACCTCAGCGCGGCCCACAGCTCTGGATCCAAGTTCTATCTCGTCGTTCTCGCCCCCCTCCTGTGCTCTCCTCCGAATTCCTCTCGTCCTCTCGCTCCTCTCGCTCCTCCTACTCCTGCTCCTGCTGCTGCTGTTCCTCCTCCGTCCCCTCCTCCGTCGTCCTCCTCCGCCTCCTCCTCCGCCTCCTCGTCCTACTCATCCTCCCTCATCCTCCTCCCCTCCCTCCTGCTCATCCTCCTTTGGACTCCTGCTCATCCCTCACTCCCCCCTCCGCCTCCAACTGTACACAGCTCCCCTGTCTGCTTGCGCACGAGACGATGGGCCCAATTTGGGAATTCCACGTTCGCTGTGGCACTTGCCGGCGGATAGAGCAACACCAGCGCAGTGGGAAGGGATAGGTGGGAGGGGCAGGATGTCCGATAAAGCGCGAGCGCACCTAGCTTACATGTACTCGCACTCTGCCACAAATGCGTCCACCAAGAAATTGGGTTGTTTCCCTGCACAGCGTTACAAGATCGCTCGCCCTGTCCAAGCTCTATGTCACAACTTCCAAATTCTCTCCTGAATCCTCCCTGGCCCCCTTCACGAACTCACTGGTCCACCTTGCTCCCCCGCGGTCCCTAATCATCCTCGAATCCGCCCTGGGCCCGCGACCTCCCTCGGATCTCACATGGCCTTATTGGTCCGCCTTGGTCTCTGCATCGCGCCTACAAAGGCCTCACGATGTCACTCCCCCAATCGAGCCGCATCCCGCGGCCCCGTGATTATCCGCCACGGTGCCGCGGCATGTTTGCTTCCTGGGGCAACTTGTCTGGAACGACTGCTGCCCAGAGTATATACCACCCGCGGTTGCAACTCACCATCAGTGGGGAAAACTAGAGATACTGATGCTGCTACTCCCCGGACCTCTCCCAGGGTGCGCCCTGACCAAGATTTCGAGGCGAATCCAGCGGTGGCAACGAGCGCCTCCCAGGAGGCCCAAAGAGGCGAAAACGAGGCAAGGGTAGCGGTGGGTACCTGTTCCTCCTCTGATCCCTCCTCCTGGCCATCCTTGCACCGAAAGCCAGCCTGGAGACCTCCTAGGAAGGGTCGGAGTAGATGGGGTCGGAGAATCGCGCCAGTGGACAGCCCGAACTGGGTAGTCCGAACTGAGCAGCCCGAACTGCCAAGAAGCGGCTGGCGAACGGCCGAGCTGGAGCCAGCAGTGCCCCTCCTGAGCCTGGCACTGGTGTATACGCCACGACCTCCTGGCTTGTCCAGGAAGGCGTATACAGTCGGACCTAGGACAGAAAAACACCTGTCGAGAACATGAGACCCACCGCCAGCCAACCACACACACACACAGAACATCCGAGGGCAACTTCGCCAAGATGCGCAATAACATCCAACAAATACGAAGAACACGGTACCCTCGAGCCGACCTCGATCTTATACCTCGGTCAGACTGTACCCATCTCCTGGGCCTAAGAAGGGCCTGGCCAGGAAGCAGTGGCGAGAGTAAATACCACCCCTGGTCGCGACTCATTTTAAGGCAGGCCTGTGAGGGGCAGCAAGGGCTGCAAAAAAGGAGTCCTTAGGGCGCGACAAGGGCACATTGATCCCCCCCTATGATCGCCCCCCGCTACGCGACGCCCAATGCCTAGAGTATATGCCACCCCCGGCGGTACCTCATCATAAGAAGGGCCCCCTGGGCAGCCCGAACTGCCGAGAAGCGGCGGAAACGCGCGGCCAGAAGCTGGAGCCGGCAGCGCCCGTGATCTCCCCGGACCCTCCCCGCACGCCTCTTCTCTCTGTGCCCGCACCCGCAGAGTGTTGCGCGGAGCTCCGAGCGGCTCGAAGACACAGTCAACCCGCATAGGAAGGATGAGCGACTTTCCAAGGCTACCCCTGCATCCGTGCCCCTTCGGCCAATCCTTGGCGACTTTCGCTGGCAAACCTCGTACGAAAACCGTTAACGTGGCCCTCTAAGGCTCTCGCATCCTTATCGCGCATCCTTACTATACGGGGTGACTGGGGAGGAAAGAAACAAGGGAGCCTAACTTCGCGCTTCGCGCTGCGCGAAGCGCGAACCATGAATAACGCTCTCGCGCCGCCCACAAGGGGATGAAATGAATGTTTGTATCCTTCCCTTGATTGCGTGCCACAGCCGATCTCAAACGCAAAGTTGTGGCCGACCCCGCTTCCGCCTTTTGAGTTCGATGCGACTTGTTATTCCTCCATCGCGTCAACGGCTTCCTCCACCTAACTTGCGGCGTCCAAGAACCGAATAACGGAGCAGTCCAGATAATGGAGAGGTCTAAAGAGCTCAGGGGCTACCATGTGCTGCTGGCTTCTAATATGAAGCCCTCCTAGCTCTCAGAGAGCTAAGAGGGAATATCAACTTCCGATCGGGTGCGAGCTCCAGTGGGTGCGCAGCCCCGACAAGACTTCGAACCTGGAGCCCCCATCCCCCCTTAGTGATGCAGCGAACGCGCTGCTATGCAGGGTGAAAGATCGCTACACGTTGCGTGCATTCCTTCTCCCTCTCCTTGTGGTCCCCAGCCCGACCGTGCATTCGTCCCGTCCTGGTGTTCGTTTCCAGCCTGTGCCCCGTATGCTGGCCGACCTCTGTTCGATCGGACCCTTACCCGCCCCGACCCGACCTTCTCCCTGAAAATGTGGACTTTCAGCGTGTGGCGAGTTTTCAACAAGCCAAGATCCGAATCTATTCTCGTGTGAAGGGCTTACAGACTTCTGCTGTCCCGTGCCTAGACTTACCTGCATTCACCTTGCTCTAACCAACTTGATCCCCAAGAGCCATTCGACGAGCCGTCAAGCCCTCAGGGATCGGCCCCAATATCCCGCGCCTGCGGGGCCTGCTCCTGTAGGCAGAGGCCGCCCCAAGAGGGTCCGAGTAGATGGGGGTCGGAGGATCGTGCAGCATCGCCGATGCATCGGTTCTGCCACCAGGAACACACAGTCAGGAACGAAAGGGCTTTTTCTGGCCACAACGGGCCTAGGTCACAGACAAGCTCCACGACATAGATCTGAGGAACGGCCCGAAAGCTGGAGCTCCCCCCCTTGAGCCCCAAGCGGTCCTTACGTCAGCGTCCTGACGCAGGCCCCTGGGGCCAGGAGCGGACCATGCAAGGCCTACTTGTGGGCCCAGGCCTCGGGCGAACAGGCCCCTGCGGCCCGCGGCCACACCCGAGACCCTCTCGGGAGTGGCCACGAGGCTGCTCCATGAAGGGGCCCAGGGTGACACAAATACATCGACACACATATTCCAGAGTTCCCTGTGTTTCTTGAATGTTCTGGATGCTCCTCCTCCCCTCAACGTCCCATGTGTTCCATGTTTTGCTGGACATCGTCGTTTACTCACGAGATGGCACAGCGACCATACGAGGTGGCTAACGCGGGCACCCGTGGCGGCACGCTACATTGGAGACGAGGGCGCTTACGCGCGACCGTACGCGAGCAGCTTGCGCGCCATTGTCGGAGCAGACGACCTCGTTTTCTCGCGTCGCCCAAATGAACCGACCCACACAATTCTAACGATTCCCTATATGTCCTGTGTGTTCTGGTTGTTCCTCTTCCCCCTCCACTTCCCATGTGCTTTCCGTATTTTCCTGGACATCTTCCTTGACTCGTACCTGTATCTTGTTTTTCCTCCTGGCTCTGGGGCATCTGGGGCGGTTTCTTCCTTCCCCCCTCACTGTGTGTTCGGCCTTCGACCGGGGGCGTCTGGGCCTTGAGGCAGCCTGTCGCCATCAAGACGGGAAGCCCCCCCGAGACCCGAGATCTCGGCCCTTTCCCCCGGGTGGCAGGGCACATCCGTCCCTCCTGTCTCCGACGGGTGCGCCGAAGGGGGACGGGGGACGGGCGCGCAGGGGGAGAGGGGTGCGCACTTTGGCCCGAGGCCGCGTGCGCGGACGAGTGAAGGCCAGGCGATGCGTTCAGGGATGAAGAACGGCTCGTCGCCCTCCGACATCGAGAAACTGAACGCCGGCATGAAAACAGAAACGCACACTAGCGCAAAATCCGAAACGCGACGCCGGAGGTTCTGTGTCCACGTCCCATTCGAGACACATGTCGGCCCGCACATGCTCGGAAGCGGACCACGGATTCGATCCTTGAAGGGTCACCTGGACTCCTGGGGTCGGGTGTGGACAGAAACCCCTGTAGCAGACCGCTCTGTAGCGAAAGCGACCCGGGACCAGCCACCGCAAGCGCAGGTCCGCCAACAGTGTGGTTGCGTCGCCCTCGGGAACTGGACAAGGGCAGCTCGCGAATCAACTTGGCAGGGTGCGGGTTCTCTTTCAGCCTCTGGGGGGCGAGCAACGTTGGCACGGTCTCTGTCGAAACGAATGTAAAGGCATGCGCGCGGGTGCCAAAGGCCGTGTACACTTGTCGCGAAAAGTGAAGCATTCCACCGCAAGCAAACCACTGGGGTAGGTTTTCAGGTTCCCTCTATATTTTGTTTCGGGCGATTAAACAAACCAATTTCAGGTGCAACGCAAGCTAAAAACGGTATATTACAAAAGCTGAGAATCCAGAGGTGTATACTAAATACAAAAGACGAGAACGACACATGGCAGACTGCATAAAAAAGGGAAGAGGGATGAGGACAGAAACGAGGAAACAAAAGAAACAGGCGTAAACATTGAGTGCGCGCCCGCACCCGCCTTGTTCTTTTCAGAGCAGGCGGAACAAAAACCATCAACACTGGCAAATCCCAAATAAATCCCGTCGGGATGCGCCCCCCGAGGCCGCGGGGAGGGGGGGGGGGGGGAAAGGTTCGGGATGCCGCGGCGACGGGCTGCCCGCCGCGGGTTCCCGCTAGCCCGCGTCCGCTATCGACCTTTTTGTTTGCCCGTCTTCGGATCCCCACCCCCGTCGCCCCCCGTCCCGTCCAATCCCCCTTCTAAGACGAAGACACAACGAGGATAACATCGGGTGGTAATAAATCGTGAATCGCAAAAATTTGGCGGTTGTGGAAAATGTTTCGGGCGCCGCGGCCGTCTCAGAGCGTTCCGGACAGCTCTCAGAGCGTTCCGGGGCGCTCTGGAATCTGGAACGGACCCATCCTCGTCCGAACCCCGTATGAACGACCATATTCGTTGCTGGCGTCTTGCTCTGGAGGTTGGAATAATCGTGTATATATACATATAGATATACACACATACGCACATATATAATGTATACATATATATATACATATACGTACACATCTACATACATACATACATACATACATGCATACATACATACACACACATACATACACACATACACACACATACATACATACATACACACACATACATACATACATACATATGTTTATATATACGTACATATATAGAAAAGAAAAAATCGAACCGCCCCACAAAAACGAACCGCCCCACAAGGGGCACGGGGAACCTCAAACCGCCCAATCCGGCAGCCGTTCCACCTAAAATTGCACCACTGTCGGTTCGGGAATTGCGTTTCCAATGCCGGCGACTTTTTTGATCAGACGGCCACGACCCTTTCCAGCAAAAAACTAAGGTGTACACGACCGCGTTCCCACACCCAGAGAACATTTGGGGCCGCACGATGTCCCGAACCGACCTCTTACTCCTCGACCCACCTCTTCACCTTCGACGCTAAAACTGCTTCGCAAGGGAACTATCCGACGATGCGTTTTGCATTCAGCCAGTGGCTTCCCCCATTTCGGCCTTCGGCCTTCGGGGGCCGTCCGCTGGGTCCTCCGACCGTCACCAAAACAAATCCGAACTGAGCAACCAAAACCTTGGGCAAGCGGTCGGGCCGCCCTGGAACCGCAGTGGCAGGCTAGGGGCCACATAATGGAGGTAAGCGACAAAGACAAAATACAAGGGGGCACTCACAAAACAAATGTTTCGCCGACCCAGCGGCCTCCAAGCGTAGCGAGCCACGGAGCTCGGCCCACGGAGGGCGGACAATTCGGGTTGGTCTCCAGGCCGTCCGGGAAGCCAGGGGGAAACCGGAGGGCTAACGACTCGGAGCTGCGGGAGGGGCGATTCGGAACGGTCATAGGCCCCCCCTGGCGACCCCGAGCCCTCCCAGGGCGCTCAGAGGCGCCCCGGCAGTGCTCAGTTTCGCCCGCCAGCCGAGGGCCGGCAGTCCCGCCTCCCTCCCCATACGGCCCTTGCAATGCAGCCCTGCTCCTGCCAGGAAGGCAGGCCAGGAAGGCGAGGGGGGGGGGGGGGGGGGCGTGGTGCGCCCCCGTGTAATGCGGCTCCACTCCTGCTTTGACGCGGCGAAGCAAACGGGGAGAGGAATGGCGCGGAACGCTCACCTGCAGCGCGGCCCTATCCTGCGAGGGTGCGGCGAGGCAAAGGGGGGGAGGAAGGGAGGGGAGGGGGTGGCAAGGGGGATTGGAAGGGGGGGGGAGGGGGGGAGATTTCATCCGGATGCTCTACACAAATACTACGGCATGGCCCCCGCGGGGCAGGACAGACAGACGGACGGACAGACAGACAGACAGACACCAAATGTCGGGCAGCGCCCAGCCCTGCGCAGAGCCTGGGTGGATGGCTCCGCAATGCCTCACATGGACTCGTACACGAAGCCGTCCTCCAGGCTCGTCCAACTTTGCAAGCATGTGTTATCCAGACCCCGTCAGGGGTGTCAGAACTCGGCAGCACGCAAGAAATTGACTGCATCGTCAGCCGAGCGTTTTTTGAGGTCTCCCTGGGAGCACCCTCAGGGGCAGAAGGGGGGATCCTTTTTCGTCTGCCCAGTATGGGCCTTTTGAAGGCCACTGCCATGCAATCCTAGATCCCCCCATTTTTGGCGCCCCCCCCCCCCACAGCGCGGTGCGTCCGCCTCAGAGGCCATCGCCCCGGGCACCCGCAATGCCTCCGCGCCATGTGGGGCGCCGTTTTTGTAGGCTCCCCCCCTGAGGCTCAGAGCGGGCCCGACGGGGCTCGTGCACGTCCACCTCCCCGCATCTCTCCGCCCAGAGGCATCCATATTATCAGGGTCAGAATAAGACGAGGCCAGGGCGAGGACAAATGTGTGCGTGTGACAGTAAAACGAGAATATCTGAAATCCCGCGGCTTTGGAAGATGTGTCGAACGCCGCGGCCTTCTCAGAGCGTTCTGGAACGCTCTGAGAGCGTTCTAGAAGGCCCCGTAACGGATTTATCCTCGTCCTAGGCCCGACCAATGGAATCAGCCGTCGTCGCCCCGGAGGCGGCCTAGGGCTGAGCGACGCCCGCGCTGCGAGGGGCGCTGGTCCTCTTGGAGGACCAGGAAGCCTCCAGGGGCCGCGAAAGGGACCCAAAGACGCCCAAGAGATCCTCCTCCTCCTCCTCCTCCTCCTCCTCCTCCTCCTCCTCCTCCTCCTCCTCCTCCTCCTCCCCCTCTTCCTCCTCCTCTTCTTCCCTCCTCCTCATCCTCCCCTCCCCGCGCGCCCCCCACGTCAACCCCCTAAGCGTCTCTCGGACGTGCCTTTCCTGTTCCCCTCTCCTTCCTCCCACGCACCTCCCCCCCCCTCCCCCCCCCCCCAGCCTGCCCCCACTTCACACCTCCCCCGCACGTCTCCTGGACGCTCGCCAGGTGGGTGTACGTCCAGCTGCCCCCGTCGCACCCCGACTGGTACCTCGCCGCGCGGGGGCCAGGGCGCCGGGGTGGGCCCACACGACCCCGCCCGCCCTCCCGCGGCGGGACCCGTCAACGCGGCGCGGCCGGGGCATAGCGCGAGCGAGGGGAGGAAAAGAGGGGAGAGGAGGAGGAGGAGGAGGAGGAGGAGGAGGAGGAGAAGGAGGAGGAAGATGAGGAGGAGGAGGAGGAGGAGGACCAGTGCAAACCCAAGTTTCATCAACGAGTTCGCTGTACATACATTTTCAAGTTCCCTCTTCATGGACCACTTGAAAAAAAAGGTTCGCTTTCACAGAAGAAGGAGGCCCGTTAGAAGACAACAGTTTGAAAATCCAGAACTGCGCCTGGACAACATCCCTAGGATTTTAACGCCGTGAACCATCATTCTTGTTTTTTTTGACGATCTTAAATCGCGCCATAACACCATTCCTGGGAGTTCGACACCACGAATGAGCATAACGATTGCGTTCTGACAGTACGACATCATGTCGACACACCGCTTGTCTGACTTTCACCATAATAATGGTCGAAACTGCTGCAAGCTGGCAAAACGAGCGCGCGCAACGCTACGGCGAGAATCGCACTTGGAAAAGAAACAGCCTCCATCCGTGACCCTGTGCGCGGCGCGAAAGCGAAAACCCCATTTTGAAACCACCCGCCCTCCATCCGTGAACGTCGTTCAACTGTTTGACACGAGCGTGCGCGGCGCTACGTTGAAAGAAACGTTGTAGGTGAAACTTGGGGCAGGCCACAGAGCAGGCGAGGGTCTGTGCAGAGACCCCCGTTCCAAGCCAACCGCGACTACGCCACGTGCTATAGCCTCTGGCTCAGACATTGCCGTCGAAGCCGCATCGCTGCGTTGCCGTACCAGCAACTCGATTAAAGCATTGCTGTTTACTGCTCGATACAGCAACCGAACCACCTAACGATGCCGTTTCTTGGCGCAGATTGGACGCGCCGAAACCATGAAGCCCAATAGGGGGCCCGCCAACGCCTATCAGGCCATTGCACTTTCTGGCCACTTTAGTGCCAGAGTCGTCGTAGTGCGCCGCTCGGAAGCCATTTTGGCTGACGACGCGAACCAGTAACAAAAAACAGCTCCTCACCATCAATCCTCCTCCCCCTCCTCCATCCCGTCCTCCTCTTCCTCCTCCCCGTCCTCCTCTTCCTCCTCCCTCTCCTCCGTCTTCATTTCCGCATCCTCCTCCACCCCCTCCTCATCATCCTTTTCCTCCTCCTCATCCTTGTTCTCCCCCATCCCCCTTTTTTCCCTCGAGTTACTACTACCCATTCTTATTATTGATGTTGGTCTTATGTTCGCTTTAAGTTTACTCGCTTTCTTACTGCTACTCTTACTCTTATTCACTCTTACTCTCACTCTTACTCATGGGTCCAAGAAAAGCGGGGACCTCGTTGAATAAGAGATCCCCTGCCTCGCTCCTCGCTCGCCGATGTGGGGGATGGTGCTCGCTGCGATTGCGACAGCGATCGAAATGCCGATGAATGTATTAGTCCAGCGCCAGTGCCATCAACATGGCCAGTACTGTACTGTATACTCCTCGTCGATGGCCACGCCCCGCAGCCAGCTTTCAAATACGTGCTGTGAAATTCAGCTGATCCCCAGAACAGCTGCGCCCAGCTCCCAGCTCAGCTCAAAATGAGCAAGTCGCACAACACAGGAATCCAGCCACTGCCAGCCAGACGAGGCGGAAGTAATGATCAAAGAAACCCAACCACCGTCGTTCACTTCTTCTGCATCTTGAGGGCCGCGAACCCGCTCGACGCTCTCGGGCGCTTGCCACTGGGCTGGGCGATGGCCTGGCCCGACGAGGCATGAGTGGGAGCGGCTGTGTCCTTGGAGCTCACAGGGACTGCGTCGGCGTCGGCCGCGACGGTGTCCACCATCTCAGCCTCCTCAAGGACATCCCACAAGAACTTGCCCAACTTCGAGGTCTGTCAACCTGTCTAATTCACGTAGTAGGCCTTAGTCTTCTTGACGTCGGAGGTGTAAGTGTTCGGCCTGGGCCTCTGCAGGGCCGCGTTGCCAATGGACGCCGTCGCGGTGGCCACCTTGGTCTCACCCTCCATCTGCGATGCTTTGCTGTACGCGCCCCTCACAGCCTGCGCGTCCGACACCCTCGAGGCGCTGCCATCGAACTTGATCATCAGCTTCAAGGTCGCCTCGGCGATGCGGAACGTCGACATGGCTGTCTTGCGCAGCTGGTCATATATCCCCATGTCATCCTTGATGCCCTCGTCGTTCGTCTTCTCCATCCACGGGCAGCTCAAGAAGTCGCCCGTCTCGCACGCTGGGATCACCACCTTGAAGAAGTAGTGGGGCCGATCGAACTGGAAGACGGCCTTCGGTGACGCGATCCACGAGTCGACGGCGTTTCCGTAGGCTGTCATCACCTTCGCCATCCATGTCTTGTCGGCATCTGGCTTCGCTGGAGAAACTCATGGCCGTCGGCGGCAGCTCCAGCTATCTCGACGAGGCTGACGGGGTCATCCTTGGACAGCCGACCCAGAACTGCAGCGATGTTGTCGCGCGTCTTGGCCTCGCCTAGTAGCGTGCTGCACGCTTTCGGGAAGGTGTCCTGCAGCTGGGTGGCCAACTGGATGATGCCGTCCGTCATCGAGCCCCTTGCGAAAGTCCAGCACGTTCTTGAAAGCACGAGTCGCCGCGACCTCGATCGAAGACGATCGCAGGACCGTCAGGGCGTTCATTGCCTCACTCCTCCGCGCCCCGAGCGACACGTCGGTGATGGCAATGCGCTGCTGGCGAACCCAGAGAGAAGACCAAGTGCGGAGGGCGCCCAGGTAGTTCTTGTCGTTCTCGCACACCGCTGCCTGGCTGACGTCGACGAGAAGACTGAGCCTGGCCCGAAACTCAAGCATCAGCTTAGACCAAGGCCGCCCACGATCCAGCGCCGACTCCAAGTTATCGCGAAAGATCACAAGTTGCATCATGCACCGAAAAGTGTCAGCGGCCCAGTGCCGGTCCGCCTCGTGCCCGTGTCCGCCAGTCGGCGGGGGCTCCAGCATCCGATCGATGACGTGCGGGGTGAGAGCTTCGCCAGCAGTCCCCTCGATGACCTCCTCGAGGTCGTTCATCAGCTTCGTGAACCGAGCCTTGGCGATGGTGGCGTCTAGGTCCTGCGACTGTGTCTCGCTGTCGATGTTGGCCCTCAGCTGCACTGCGTCCAAGATCTTGACGGACTGCCCTTCATCGATGAAGCCTCCGACCAGGAACAAGGTATCTTCATAGTTATCAACTGGGAGGCGGATGTCTCTGAACTCGCTCCAGAGGCCCTTGAAACGAGCCGCCGCTGACTGCAGGTCGTTCCCCAATGCGGCGACCTGGCCCACCGTGCCCAGCAGGAGACGCCGAGCTGGTTGGGCTTGCCCCTCCTGTTCGAGGAAGCTCGGAGCCTCAAGCTGGTCTCGCACTTCTTCTCCGACACGACCCTGGCGACGGCGGCGAGCTGGGGGCTCGCGTTGACGCCGCGCTTCAGCAAACCAGAGAAAGACGCGACGATGCTCAAGTCCACGTAGGCCGGCCGAGACCAGATCGGCGGCACCTCGCAGCCAGAAGGAGTTCTGGGTCTCTGCGGGGGCCCCCGCGTCGACGAGGGCAGCCCGCGTGCTCTGGAAGTCGTCGGAGGACGCGGCGAGCGTCTTCTCGACGAGCTCCATGACAACGGTCTGCTGCACCCTGTCTCGAGACGACTCGGGGAGGAAACTGCAGCTCATCGAGTCGTCGTCCTTGGAGGCAGCGAACCTCATGATTGCCCTGGCAGCCGCCACCGCAGGCGCATAAGCACTGGCGAGGCCCGCGAGCTCTACTTTCGAAACTGCCCCGGCGCCTGCAGCGACGAATACATTCGACGCCAACTTCGGGGCCATCTTCTGGATGATTGTTTTCTCAGCCACGTGTAGCGACCTATTCCAGAACGCCACGGGGTCATGACGAGCTTCCTTGAAGAGCTGGCCGACGAATCTCAGGCGCTCGGCCTCGTCTAAGAGGTTCTGCGCCATGCCAGCCACTGCATCCTCCCCTTGACCATCTCCGTCTCCCGCCTTCAAGCGGGAGCACCTATTCGACGCGCGCGCGAGCAGGTCGACCGGAGAAGTCAATGTCCGATCGCGGGGGGGGGGGGGGCGCCCACAGATCTTGGAGTTCGCGTGCTTGTCGGAAGTGGCGCTCAAGATGCCCTTGCATGCGCCCATGACCTTTTCCATGCTGTGCGACCTCAGCTGGCTCTTGAGAGCCGACATCTTCTTGGACTCCCCCATTGCGTCGCCATCGTCGGCGACGGCCGAGCCTGCGTCCGACCGAGCATCATCTGGGCGCGACACTTTCCCGATGCCGACGCCGAGGGACTTCGCGCGGTGAACGCCCTTCAACGACGGGGCCCCCTGCTGGAAGTCGGCGCGCTGCTCGGGGACAGGGGCCCCCGATGCCGATGAAGATGCATCGCCCTGATGGGCGTCGAGCCTGGCCAACCGTCGCCTCTGGGGCCTCGGCGCGAGCGACAGGGGAGCCACAGGAGGCCGAGAAGGTGCTGGCCCCGCTGGAGTAGGCTCATCCGCGTCGCCGGGCTCCACCTCCCCGTGCTGCAGCTCCTGGAACGCCGCCGCGGCGACGTCCTCGGCGCCAGCCTCGAACTTGGAGATCTGCCTGAAGGATTTCGTGTCCGAAGTCCCCTCCCTGTCCTTATATGCTGCCCCCTGCGGCATGTCCTGCTCTTTCACTCCGAGGTTGCCCAGACTGTCCTGCAATATCTCAGCACCTGGGTAGTCACCGCCCATCCACTCGATCACCTGCTGCGAAGTCCAGCCTCCGAACTCCTCGTTCGGATCCAGCAGCCGAGCGTAATCGAACAGCTTGTAGAAGCATCCCTCGGCGTAGCCTTCCTTGAAGTCCATGGACCCCATCCTCGGCCTCGGTGCTCTGCTCGCCCTCCTCGACCCTCGTGCGCCTGGTGTCACCTCGCACGGGCGCCGACCGATCACTCTGGGTATTATCATTCATCTTCAGGTCCTTCCTCTTCGCAATCATCCTGTCGAGAGTGGTGGGGTAGCCAGTCTCTGGGTCCTTGTGATGCTTCCTCCGATTCAGCCTGCAGTCGTCGCACTGCCTCCCTGTCGGCTTCCACTTGCCGTCCTTCGACGTGTTGCCCTTCGTCGACTTGATCACCGATTGGTTGGGGGAGCCCCTGTCGATGTCACCGTAGCTCTGGTCGCACGACCCGCGCGCCAGGTTGAACTCGCGGTCCGCCTCCTGCTCGGGGGCTGGTGGAGGATGACTCTTGCTCTGGATCTGCGCCCTCGGCGCCCTCGGGGCTTGCGGCGGTTTCACGCGAGCGCGGCGATACTTGGGCCGGGGCGGTTGCTCCCCCATGATAACTGGATGTGGGGCGCGAACTGCGGTCGCGGCCTCAGCTTCTCACTCGCTCGAAATGCGAAAATTGCCATGGCAAACTTGCGATCGCATGATAGGTAGGCGAAGACGCCGAGAGCCCAAGACGGCTCCAAGACGGCTCCAAATGGCGGCCCCAAGACGGCTGCAAGAGGGCTCCAAGACGGCTCCGAGTGGCGGCTACAAGTGCCACAAGACGGCTCCAAGAAGGCCCATTGGGTTCCAAGTGGGGCCCCGAGGAACGGGGGCAATGTGTCTGAGCGTTTCGGACCCCCACAGAGCTTCAGAGCTTCAGAGATGTTGTGTCTGGGCGTTCGGAAGCCCCATAGAGCTGGGGGCCCCCCCGAGCAGGGCCCCAGGAGTCCAGGAGGGCCCCCATACAGCCTCAAGGGGGCCTCAAGACAGCCGGCCTGGCCCCGCCCTCGGGGCAAGCGGTCGACCTCGCCGCGGCGCCTCCGCCGCGTCACTCGGGGCGAAGCCTCGAGCCCAGGGCTGGCCAGGGACGAGGGCCATGGCTAGGGCCAAATTGAGACCCACTAAGACCAATTAAGACCAAACTTAGACCAACTTAAGACCCACTAAGACCAAATTAAGACCAAATCCAAACGGCGATATTCCCTGATACATTCTTCAAAAAAACAAGCTAATACCAAATTAACACCACAGTTAAACCAACTAAGACCAACCCAGAACCAATCTAGGACCCACTAAGACCCAATTCAGACTGAGGCTTCGCCACAGGCCTCGCCACGGGCACGGCGCTGCAGCTCCCCTGGCGGGGTCGAGTCGATGGCCGATGGGGGGGGGGGGGGGGGGGGGGGCTGAACACCTGGGCAAAGCCCCCGATGAGAACCCAGGCGCAAGATCACCTATCATAGTCCAGGCACCTGCTAGGAAGAGCGAAACTGCCAGAACTTTTTCGATATCCCACGAAGCCGTGCAGTGCTAGCCAGTCGAGGGCGCTGAAGGGCCACTGCCAACTGCAGACAAGCGGTCGTGACACTCGGAGAGGACCGTTCTCTCCTCATCCGAAACTCCTGGCTTCAGCATGGCATTGTGGAGGAGCGCCAAGCTCATTCTAAGGTGGCTGTCTTTGCAATGAGGCAAGACATTACCATTGCTTACGCATGAGTGGTGCAACGACATCTCTAGCTTCGTCGCCTTATCGCGAAACCAGGATTTAAACTGGCCCTGGGTGATCTTAGACAGAGCTGGAGGCAAAGCGCCCTGGTCACACACACACACACACAAAGCATTCGGGCCCAATGTTCGGGGCCACCTGCGAGGCAATGATACCTAACCGAAGGCCCGATGGGATGGCATCTAGATTGAAATCCCACGCCTTCTTCACCTCGTCGGGCTCGACGGTCTCCTTGATGTCAGTCTGGCCCCCGCCGTCGTCGACGACGCGGCCCGGGAAGGGCGGGGGGGCGGAGGGAGAGGCCGAGCGAGCAGGGAAGCATAGGGTCAGAAACGTTGGGGTTGCCCGTGGCCCATGAGGGGGCCGCGGCTCCCCCTGGCTCCTCCGACTCCTCCTCCTCGTGGCTTCTCCTCCTCCTCCTCCTCCTGGCCCAGTTAGACGGGGCCCCCGCCCCCGTCGTCGTCTTCCCCCCCCCCCCCCCCCTCCACCTCCTCCTCGCTCCTCCTCCCCCGCGCGCCGGGATCAGGATATCCGGGCGCGTCGCCCTTGCCAGTCTTCGCAACCGCGGCAATTTTGATGACGCCATCGTCCGCGACGTCGCGCCCCGAGTAGCCCCCCCCATCAGGCTTGAGACCGCGGGGCAAAAAACTCACATCCTTCGGCTCGTCTATCTGCTCAGCGCCAGCTAGCCTGGCACTCAGGGGGCCTCCTCCTCGTGGGGCGCGCCGATTTCCCTGGTGGCGAGCCCTCGGTCGTGCGCCACCTTCTCGACGTTGCGCATTCTGAACTTGATGCGCAAACCCGCAGCGACCACTGAGGGGTCGAGGCCGCATCGAATCACGAAACCTCGAATCGCCATCTGTGCAGTCATCGATGCTATATGTCTGAAGCCGCGCTCGACCACGACCATGGGCTTGAAGGCGTCGCGAACTCCTTCTGTAGGCTCCAGCCGCAGCAAGAATATAGCTTCACCTTCACCGAATGTATCTGCGATGACGTAGTGGTTGACTGTGCCGTGCGAGCTGAACGACGCAGTCGCAGGTAGCATATCCCGACGAATCTGCCATCGCTGCAGAAACTTGTAGATCTTCTCCACGCCAAACCTTGCTGCTGGCAGCCAGCAGTCCAGGCTGCAGACCCCCCAGTTCTTGGAGTGGCACGACCGCGTCGGAATGGCTGTCCCTGGGGGGGTGTCCACCGCCTTCTCGTCGCAGCCGAGAGCTAACTTAATCTTGTTCCTGCAAGTCGCCCGCGCGATGTGGGCGTCCACCTTGTCAGGGCGCAGTGCCGACGATGAAGAGGCGATGCCCAGTCCTGCATCCCGCGCCGCGCGCGACTCGATATCTTGAAAGACTTGGGTAAACAACTTCTGCGTCAAGAGCTTGCACCTGTGATCGCCCAGCTGAGGGCGGGCAGCCTCGATCTTAGCGACGGCCAGGTCACCCGGGACATTGGCGACGGTCTCGGACATCGCGGCAACGTGACCCCGATGCAGAGCCCCATCGTCGTCTGTCGCGAGTGCCCGCAACAATGAGCTCCTGGCTTCCGACGGGGGGGCGACGCGACCACTTCGCCGAGCGAAGGCGTTGATAAGCCACAGCGTCCTTATTCTGTTTCGCGGCTTTCTCCAGAGTCGTGATCTCGACATGCCGCGAATCCTTCGACGACTGACGGGGGGCGCCCAAACGGAACCTCCTGGACAACGCATGGTACTGGATAAGGGTCATCCCGTATCAGTCCAGCGCAGCCTTGTGCGCCATATCAGAATTTGACTCGGCCTCTTGCACTGCGCTCTGAATGCAAGTGGCCGCCGCGCGGTTCGTCGCGTCGACTGCGACGCCTCGTGACTTGACTGGCTTCAGAGACTGCCCGTGGAGATGTCTTCGCTCGCCGCTCGCGCTGCCCATGCGAAGGTGAGCGAGCGCGCCAGTTAGATGAGCGCGGGCCTTCTCAGGATCAGAGTCGAAGAACCCCACCACCTCCGCGTCGAAAGAGTCGTCGAAGCAAGCCCTGAAAGTCTTGCGGCCCCTCAGGGCGGTCAAGGAATTAAGCGCCGAGTCAGCGGAGTAGAAGTCGCTGTCGCCGTCTCGCGTGCAAGTCGAAAATCCGAAACCTGGGATCGTCGAAGTAGAAGACACGACGTCACCAGGCACCAGAGGCCGCAGTTAGAGCCAAATAAGCAGCGTCCAACTTGTCAGCATCGTGCATTCTATCTCTGCCACTGGTTGCTGTCTAGGTTCGTGATCACGTCTGCGTAGCCGGAGAGGACCGAGCGCCCGCGCAATCCACTCGCAAACTTGTAGTTCAACTTGCAACATTATGTGAAGAAGGCGCGAAAGTCTTCCCCAAAAAGGCCCGCGGTCGCAGCGTGGGTTTAATTCCCAGGCTCTTTGTCCGCTTTCGTAACCAAGTTCAAATTCCTTTGAAGAGGCTGCGTCAAAATCTGGGACAAGAAGATACGTTTACCGCCGTGATCGTTGTCGAACCTGCGCATCACTCAACCTGCTTGGACCGTCGCCTTTGTCTGGAAGCTCAACTCGTCGACACTCCTGGCTGCCTGTGCTGCCGCGTTCGCATCTTCGACCTCTCTTCGAGTCCACATCTTTCGCAAAACCCTAGGCAATATCTCATGCTGGCCCCTACCGTGGGATGCGAAGGCTAGAGCTGCGCCCATGCGTTACCATCTGTAGAGCAACGCCACGGGGCATCCAGAGCCAATGCAAGTCCGAGCCATCTCTTTTGCAATCAATTCGCTGTGGTCCCCGTCGTTGCACCAGCTAGGGCAGTCGCCGACGACGCAATAGTGCATGCATTTTGCATATGTTCAATTAATTCCCCTTGTCGCGGTTAATGACTGCCGCGCAGTCGGCATCAGATAATGCACCGCATGCCTGGGAAGCTTCGAGAACCCGAGCTGAATCTGCCTTCCAAGTAGCGCACTCACCAGGCAGCCTGACGACTTCACGATACCCGAATATCTCGTCAATCACCGAGTCCACTGCCCCGATGAATTTATTCATATTGGCCGCGCCCTCCAGGATGCGACCTAACCTCACGAGAGCGGATGGTAAATCACCCTGAGATTGGTACACGCTTCTTGTCAGTAGACATGTATGGTGCCCCTGGCAGTGCACGTCCAAGTGAGCGCGAAAACGGTCATCGCCCCTCTTGTCGGCAAGTCTCTGTGTTCACATCGGGTCAAGCAGCCATTCGTTTTCGCAACATCGTTGCGCAACACTTTGTCAACGCATTCACTCTATCAATCAGCCGTTGCGTCTGGCCCACGTGGTTCGTCAAGTTGACGCCTACCTGGCCACCGTTGCACACGTTCCATGTTCGTTTTCGGTTTCGCATGGTTGACCAGTTTGCCTGTAGAGGTGCTTGGGTCGGGCTATGTATTTGCGCTCCTCGCCACGCGTGTGAGGTGTCGTCTGCTTGTTGGGCAAATACAAACTCCAAAGGATTCAAGCACGGTGTAGATACGTGTTTCTCCAATTGCTTTGGCCGTCTGCATACCACTTCGACCATGCCTCGTATCGGAAGCTGCACGGGCCTCCTTGTCCTTGGCTGTCATCGGCTCCCGAACACACATCGAAGCTTCGTTCGTAACATCATTGCAAATCATCGATACAACGTTGGAAAGGTATGGTTCCAATGCTTGGTTCGTGGCCCCGTGGTGGGAAACAACTCCTCTCATTTTCAATACGTCGTCCCTTGCCGGCTTGAATCGTGCTTGAAGCCTCTATTGCTAACTAACTGTGACTCTTTGACAAAACTCCCACGCATCTGCGGTTTGAAATTGAAAATCTCGCTGCTCACTTTGTTCGCTACGGTAGGGCTTGCCACCGACACCGCAGCGGCCCGTTGCTCTCTCAGACGCCTGGACACATGTCTAGCTTTCGCCAGCGTCAGCCGAGCTCCTCTTGGTCGTACTGGCGGTGGGCGTGGTGGTGGCGCTGCTGGTGCTGGCAGGGCTGGTGCTGGTGCTGCTGTTGCCACAAGGGCCGCAACGATTGGCGCTGCCACTGGGGCCGCCGCCGCTGCCGCTGGAAAGGCGATCTCCTCTGCTCCAATGAGAAATCCAAGCATGAATATGAAAGCACCACCAAGGCGAATATGGAATAGCTGCATAGCATAGACACGGAGATAAGTGTCTGCGAACATGGGCTGCTGGCTATAAATGAACGAGCCACAACGGCTACCGACGGAGGGTGACGAGGATGGATGAGGGAGAGGACGGGCGTTGTAACAAACAACTCCAGCAACAAGAACATAAGGGGAGGATGTGTCAGTCGTGGGAGCAGCCCAAAACGGCCCCAAGACTGGATTTTTGGGCCCAAATGGCCCATCCAAAACGGCCCCAAGACGGCCCAACACGGGGAGCAGCCCAAGACGGCCCAAAACGGCCCCAACCCAGAATATGCCCAAGCGGCGGGATTATTGTGCACACCTTTGTCAGTTCTCGATGTGCCATGTGATTTGATGTTTCTGTTCCCCCTATATCCCCGCACTACTCCCCGTGACCCAAACCCCCCTCCAGCCTCAAACGACCGATGATGAGAGTCTGACAAATGATAACCCCGTCAGCTCTGAGCTTGGCCCGAGACTCGGTGAAACGATGGAGGCGCATTTGAATCATCCACCTGCGTCTTCTAGAAACCTACGTTACTGTCTTACGTAATGCATGAAGTATTATAAAGTCGGTGGCTACTTGACACCGGTGTTAACCCTATGGCGTAGACGCGCTTACAGCAGTACCTTTACTGGTTTCACATGGAGCGCCCTATTCAAGCGCTAGGGCGAGAACCGCATTTTGAAAACCACCCGCTCTGCATCCGTGAAACTGTTGCAAATGTTTACAACGAGGGTGCGCGGCGCGAAAGCGAGATCCACATGCTAAAAACGACCCACCCTCAATCCGTCAAACGCTCGTAACTTGTAGTGCGAACAAATGCGGCGCCCAAACAAGAACGACATTGTGAAAACCATCCGCCCTCCATCCGTACAATCCTTGCAAACTTGAGAACGAATGTGCGCGGCGCTAAGGCGAGAACCACATTTTGAAAGCGGCCCGTCCTCCATCCGTGAAAATCTTACAGATTCAAAGCTTGGGGATAATAAATGGTGGAGCGTCTCAGCCAAGACGTCCAGCCCGCTCTTTCGACTGGCCCCTGGGTGCAACAGGGAGGAGTGGGGGCGTCTCAGCCGAAACGTCCAGCCAGGCCTTTCAACTGGCCTCTGGGTGCAACAGGGAGGAGTTATTTAAAAGGAGAAGGGATGAAGAAGAAGGAGACAGACAGACAGACAAAGATGCTCATGGGATGGAGGAGTATCGCCGAGGTTCGAGGACCTAGGTTTTCGAATGTCTTCTGCCCCTCTTCAAGAACCTCCGGCGGCGTCCTCGTGGCTGGATCCGCCCCGATATTTTGGCCAGAGCGCACCCCAAAAGAGGTTCGGGGGGCCAACTTCGAGGCCCGAGACCCAGACCGCCACCGTCATAAAGACACGGTGACCAGGGATTCAAAGCCGGTCCCCGGAATGCAGTGGTGGAGAGCGCCAGAGGTCCCACGTCACGAAAATAATCAGATAAGAAGCGCAACGTGGTACACGTGGAGAGGGCGAGGACGGGGACAAGGACGACGACGACGACGAGGACCGCATGTTCGATTCCGAAGCAAGGCCACCGCTCTCAGGGTTAGGACCAGGACCCCGCGACTAAAAAACATCACATCGGTTGCAGCGCGCGGCTGCCGCACACCTTTGTTTGTCGCGGCGGCGGCGGTCGCGCGGCGCGCCCGAGCCCATGGACATGACTGCTTGGCCACCTGGTTGCCGCCTGTGCCCGGAAATCCCCCCTCCGTTGCGCGGCGGCGCGTTCCAAAGCAGCCTGGAGGAAACAGCTGCCGCCCCCAAGAGCTGGTAAGATTTCCATGTCAACCTCAGGCGAGAAATCCTGGGGCATGGAAGTGGCCGAAGAAATGTGCGTATGAATGCATTATGACGGCGGGGACGTCCCCAACCCCCACAAATCCACCGAAATGCTTTGACCCGCATTGCGCTTTGAACTTCGACGCTGTCCTCCTCCTCCTCCTTCTCCACCCCATTCCACAACTCATCTTCTTCATTCATATATACCCCCTGCTCTCCAACATAGCCTGCCAATGAGGACACAATCCGGGGGGCTCCATCCGGCCAGTGAACAAAAATCTACGCGTTTGCGCTCAGAATGGTAGTCTTCACGCCAACGTTGCCAAATGCGTTTCAAGAATGGGACGTGGCGTACATCCCGCGCGCAAGGGCGAAATGTCGCCCTCGCCCCCGCAAAGCTCTTCTTATGTCCTGGGAATTGAGATCCCGCTTGGGCGCGGCGCACACTTGCGCTCGCCAGTTCGTCAACTCGCGAGCGGACGAACATGTCGCTCTCGCTTTGGGGCCTCGCAGACTTCGCCTGAAAGTGGCGCTCCCGCCTCGGCGCAGTTTAATCGCGAAGCGTTGGGGCCCCACGCAGGCAGGCGACTTGTAGCCCCCGCCGGAGCTCCGAACACATTCTGGGGGGAAGTGGCGTCCCTGCGCGGTTGCGGCGCATGTCTCGCTCGCCGAACCACATGAAAGCTTCAGCGGCAGAGGGGCTTCGCGAGAGTGGGCGAAGGGCTGTCCTCACCCAAGCGTGGCGTTGTCTGTGTGTGACATGGTAATGCAATTTTGGCGCGGCGCGGGTTTGGCCTGGGCACGAGCGTTACCCGGGGGAGGAAAGCATGTTCACGAGAAAGCTGACTGTCTCTCTCGCCGCAACACCGCGCACGGATGTTTGGAAATTCCACTCCCACACATCCGCGGCCCGCATCGTTTTTTTCCCGTCGACAGGTCGGAAGCGGGACCGCTTTGGGGGGACCGCGCTCCAAAGTGTGCCAAGTGCTTTCATTGATTCGTGTGTTATCCGAAGGGGCTAGGTGGGACTAGGCAGGGCCCGCTGGTTCCTCCTCTTCCTCCTCCTCCTCCTCCAACTCCCACTGTCACTCCCTCCTCCTCGGCTTCAGGTCCCCCCCCCATGGGGGAGACACGGGGAAAGCGCCCAGGAGGGCACATCTGCAGCAGCGAGCGCACCGCAGTGGCAGTGTCCCTGCCCTCGAGGTACATGCTGTTGAAAGCGTCCACCGCCGCGTCCTTTACTGTCCACTAATCCGCATCCTTCTCATCCTCATCCTCATTATCATCATCATCATCATCATCATCATCATCATCATCATCATCATCATCATCATCATCATCATCATCATCATCATCATCATCATCATCATTACCATTATCATTATCATTATCAGCACCATCATCATCATCATTATCATCATCATCATCCTCATCATCATCCTCATCCTCATCCTCATCATCATCATCAGCAGCATCAGCATCAGCATCAGCATCAGCATCATCATCATCACCATGACCATCAACATAACCATCACCATCACCATCATCATCATCACCATCACCATCACCATCACCATCATCAGCATCATCATCAGTATTGTTATCATCACCATGAGCATCAGCATCAGCATCATCATCAGCAGCCGCCGCAGCATCATCACCATCATCACAAGCATCGCCACTAGCATCGCCACCACAATCACCACCATCGGCATCATCAACATCATCAATCCCATGATAATCATCAACATCATCACCGTCATCGTCACCATCACCATCACGATCACCATCGCCATCACCATCACCATCATGATCATTATCAACACCATCATCATCATCAGCATCATCATCATCGTCATCATCCACGTCATCATCACCACCATCATGACGATCATCATCACCAACATCACCAATATCATGTTCACAACCGTCATTACCAGCATCGGCATCATGATCCTGAGCATCGTCATTATCAGCGGCATTAGCAAAATTGTCGGCATCATCAATTGCAGCATGCTCATCATCACCATCGTCGTCATCATCAGCACCAGCATCAGCATCATCACCATCAGTATCGTCGTAGTCGTCAACAGCAAAACCACCACCATCATCACTACCATCAGCATCATCATCGTCACCACGATCATCCTCATCAGCAGCATCATCACCATCATCAACATCAGCATCACCATCATCATATCATCAACATCCTCATCAGCATCATCATCGTCGTCATCATTATCATGGTCACCACCATCATCATCACCATCAGCATTACCATCATCGTCATCATCATCATCAGCATCATCATCATAATATGTATCGTCCATTGCCTGTCTTCTCTTCGTCCTTCGCCTCCTCCTTCCCACCCCTCATCAACATCTTCATTAATGGCACCAACACAGCCATCGGTAACAACATAATCAGCGCCAATGTCAGAATCATGGCTGTTCCTCGTCATCATGATGCCCCTTGTTCCCATCGCATACCAATCCTCCGTGTTCCTTATTCTGGTTATCCTCCTCCTCATCCTCCCCCTCCCTACTCCGACTCCTCCCTCCTCCACCTTCCCCCATCGTCTCACACCGCTGCGCATCAGCAACCCCGTGTGACTCACACTCCCGATCCCCACCCTTCCCTCCCCCATTCAACTCCTACCCCATCCCTTCGTCCCCTCGCCCGCCCTCACCTGGACCATGCCAACACGTGGCGCAGCTTCAACAACATGTGAGACACGGTGTGCAGATGAATGAGACGCCTGTGGCTTTGCACCTCCCCTTCCCCTCCCCTTTCTCCTTTCTCCCATCCCCCCTCCCCTCCCCCTCTCCCTCCCAACCCCTCCCCTCCCCCTCCCCCCCTTCCCCTCCTCCTTCCCCCTTTCCCCCACTCCTCCCTCCCACTTCCCACCTCTCCCGCTCGCGATCCCCTCTCCACTGCCTCCTCGTCCAGTGCGTTGCTCTCAGGACAGGAAGGGGATGCCACGATGCTCTTGCCGCCTCCCCCGTGACTCACGCCCCACTGGCCATTGGCTCGTCCTTGATGGACGACTGGCGGCTCCACACCAACCCGAGGACCTGGAGCGGATCGTGTATAACCCTCCTCCCTGTTCCTTCTCCTCTTCCCCGTACAATGTGTCACCCTTGTTCATATCCATCACCTTCCCCCCCACGAGCAGGAGCTTCCTCCACCTCCTCCCCCCTAAAGTCTCCACCCTTCGTCTTCTTCATGTTGCCTGTTCCTCCTCGTCGTCCTCCTCCTCCAATTCTTCGTCATCCTCCTCCTCCTCCCCCTCCTTCCCCCTCCACCCCACCATCCCTACTACTTCTCCTCGTCCTTCTCCTCTTCCTCCTCCTCCTCCTCCTCCTCGTCCTCCTCCTCGTTCTCAACTTCATCTTTCCCTCCAACCGCCCACACAGAACAGTCTCCATATTTGTTTCTGCGTCATTGAACTCCACCCTCGCCCGCAGAAATTGCTGCATCCTTTTGCTGCGATACTGAACTCACGCCAGGGTGCGCCGCTTGGACTGAGAAACAATGTTCTCTGCAGCCTCCGAGCTGCACCGATTGGAAGACTGTCACAATGTAGACAAAAGTCCCGCCCCGCCCACCCCCCACCCGATTTGTTTCTGGAGCCCCGGATTGCGCCGATCCAGTCGCTGGCACGCTGGCACAGTGCAGATGAAGGCCCTAGCCCCTCCTCTGGCTGATCTTCTCCGCAGTCGCGAATTACGCCGAGCTGGCCGCTGCAACAATCCAGGAAACAACCAATGCTCCTGGCCGATCCTGCTCCTCCTCCTCCGCGCCTCCGTCGGCACTCTTCAATCCCGTTCGCTACTCCGCCGTGTTGGCCCAGGACACCAGAGCCCACACGGCGGAGGAGACGTAGGGAGCGAGGAGGGCGGGAGGAGGGCGGAGGGCTGGGAGGGGGTAGACCGGGAGAGGGACAGTGACGACGACGATGACGATTACGACGACGACGACGACGGCGACAACGACGCCGACGAAGAACGATGACGACGACGGTGAAGACGAGAAGGTGGGACAGGGATTGGTAAGGGCAAAGGCAAAAGCGACAACAGAAATAAAAGCAGCAGCGCCGGAAGCAGAAGCACAAGCAGATGGGGGGGAAAAGAAGGGGGATATACCTATCTGTATGTCAATGTCGTATATCTCTCGTTCTGCCTCATTATCTCGTTCTCTCGTTCTCTCTCTCTCTCTCTCTCTCTCTCTTATATATATCTTATATATTTATGTGCATTACTCTCTCTCTCTCTCTGTCCCTGTCTCGTTTTGTTTCTCATGTTCTTCATATGTATCGCGATCTCCTTGCTCTCAGACGTCCTCCAAGACCTGGCGCCCATGCTGGCCCCAGACTGCCCCCGGCTCAGGGTACGCACCCTTCACGGCCTGGCCCCTGACGACGGTTACCTGGAACGCCCAAACGCGCAAGATGTGGTGCAACTCGCCATGAAGCTGGGCGACGGTGTCCAGACGGCATGGGCCACTTGGACCGACCAGAAGCATCAGCTGCAAGCCCCAGGCGGAGCCGAAAGCGCACCAGTGCCACGGCTCCTGCGGCATTGGTCAGAAGCCGAATGCCTTGAGTTCCTCAGGACACTTTACGGCGACGTGGTCCCTGAGGGCGGCATTCCTGCCAGGTTTCCCTGGAACGGTCGCCGGGCCGCACTTCAACGCGTGGTGGCAAACCTCCTTCGCAACAAAGGCAAAGGGAGCCTCCAGAGGCCAGATAACCTGCAGGGAAGCTGGCGCACGTTCCTCGGCTCCGATATCTCCATCAGCAAAGAGGACCCCGCGAGGTTCAGTGAGGCCAAGCTCGCCACCTTCCTCGCGGCCCACAACATCCAGACCCTGGCGTCCCCGCTGCTGGCCAACTCCCCCCCGCCAACCCGACTGGCGACAATCAGCCGAAACCAGCAGCAGGGAGCCGCCAGCTCAGCCCCAGCCCGGGCAGATCGTCCGCCAACGCCACCACCAGGTCCCGCTGCAGGCAGCACAAGGGCGCCCACCAAGCACTCGCCGATGCCCCTTGCCATGCCAGCCCAAGACGCCCAGGCGCCGGCCAGCGCCTCCCCCGGGGACCCCGCCGCCGGCCCCTCGACCGACCCTGGGAGCCCGCAGCCTGCCCCTGCTGCGCCAGCAACCGGTCCTGCGCCGGGCACCCCTGTGGAGGTCTGTGCGGACTGGTCCCCTGATCACCACGAGGAGGACGTCTCTGCCAGGCGAGGTCTCCTGCCTACCGAACAGATCGCCATCCTCCGCACGGCGATGGGCCAAGCCGCCAAGCCCCTGCTCCACTCCCCAGGGACTACGTCATGGCCCGAGACGACTCCCCTTGCCCGCCTCTGGAGTGGCACACAGAGCCAGACGGCATGGAAGTGCGACCCAGCCCAGATGCCAACCGCGGTGCCCTGGTTGGTCCAGTCGAGGAGGTGACCCTGCCGGGAGTCAAACTGCCGCATGGACCCGCCAGGTACGTCAACATCAGAGTAGGGCAGGCCTGGGCGCCCATCTGGGACGGATTGGACACCAGGGGTGGACCTAAACGGTGTTTTGGCGATTTCGTGGGCCGGTTTCGTTTCGACTTCGTTTTGCGGGAAAGGCGGATTGAAAAAAAACGATGGAAAACGACAACAAAACGAAAACGAAAAACACCGTTTAGGTTCAGCCCTGTTGGACGCCACCAACTTGGCATCGGTAGTTAGTCACGCGCGAGCTCCTGGAAGGCACCGACACTTGGCGTTCTCTCGGTATGACGGCCAGCCGTGCTGGCGGCAGCAGCACAGCGCGTGGCCCCGCTGCAGCTGTGCAGGCTACAGCGCAACCGACAGCCAGCGCCGAGGCACCAGCTAACCCGGCGCCTGCAGCAGCCGCGCGCCTGGCCCCCGCCGCCACCCAGACCTGCGCGCCGACCCAGATTGGCCCACGGAGCGCGCCAGTCGGGGCTTGAACGAGGCGGAGAGTCCCACCGACACCCTTTACAAAACGCCGCGACGACGCATCACCTTCCAGCGTACACAGGACGGTCGCGGTCATATGGAGACCTGGCCCGAGGTTGTCCATAGGCTCAAATCTGACTGTGGAGCCCTGTTTGTGGAAGGCTAAGCGGTCTGCGACCAGCGCGATCAGCGTGGCAGAGGCGGCGGGCTGTACAACCCACACGGGCACGACGAATTCTGCTACCAGTTCATGGAAGATATGTACTACTAGCAATTCGACATTCGAAGCCTATGCTGGGGCCGCGACATCCGCATCACCTGGGACGATGTCTGGAGCAGGCAGCGCGAACATCACGCGTGGCGCTACGACCGGGCCACCAGTGCCGACAAAGGCCCGACGCGGCCTTGGACCATGCACCAGCAGCCAGACCTAGACGCTCATGGCTTGGTCCCCTGCAGCCCGTCAGCGCTGCCTGCTTGGCCAGACGCTGCGGCACGCAGCACCCTCCTCGACGGAATCCTCCAGCCGCGGGCGCAGCAATCCAGCATACTGCACCCACCAGCAGCGCCCGCTGCATGATGTCTGGAGAATGCCCCTGGGAGCTAGTGCTTTGCTCCCCCCCCTTGACGTGCCCGGCCCTGGCGGCTACCTCCGCTCACGCTGCCGAGCTGCTCGGGTCAGCTGACCCCGGTTGTGGGAACATGTCCTGTCTTCTTTCCTGCGCGTGCTGTCCGTCGGGCGGCGCGCTGCACCTCTTCACCCGCATGCTGCACCATTCCGGTGCTTTCCTGGTCTCCCACTAGCGTTGCTGCCTTCGGCGCCCGCTGGCTGCCACCTGCTGTCCCAACAGCGGCGCTCGGCTTCCCATTTCCTTACGCTGGTTTTGTCGCCTCCTCTCTGGCCCCCGCCGCCACCGCCTCCAGTGTCAGCGGCCGCTGCGTGCTGTCCGTCGGGGCGGCGCGTGGCTCTGTTCACCCGTTCGCTGCACCATTCTGGTGCTTCCCTGGTCTCCCCGCCAGCGCGGCTTCAACCCGCTCGCCACCACGTGCTGTCCGTCGGGGCGGTGTGTGGCCTCTCCCCCTCCCGCGCGACCCGTGCGCCGCTCCTTGCTCGCCGTCATGTGCTGTCCGTCGGGGCGGTGAGTTGCCCTCGGCTCACCCGCTTGCTGCACCATTCCGGTGCCCTGTGGCGCAGCTCTCCTGCCGCGCCCTCCCTCAATTTCGCCCTCTACCCCGCCGTCTGCGCCCGATCGCAGAGCGTCCGCCGGCGCCCCCGCCTCTGCCCGCCTGTCTCCGCCTCCTCAGCCACCTGGCCCGCGCCACGTTTTGTGGAGCGGCCGCCCCTGGGCCTGGCGCCTCTGGTCGCCTATGTCGGTCCTGCAATTTTGCCCTCCTCGTCGCTCACATTTGGGCAGTGCGGTCGCTGGCGCCCCCATGCGTCCTCCCTTGCCCGCTCCCGCTCCGCTCGCTTTGCTCCCGCCGTCTGTGCCTCATCGCAGTGCGTCCGCCGGCGCCCCCTGCGCCCGCCTTTGTCCCCCTGTCCCCGCGCCCTTTGCCTTCTGGCCCCCTCCACCGTCTGTGGAGCGGCCGCCCCTGGGCCAGGCACCCCTGGTCACCTCTGTCGGTCCTGCAATTGTGCCCGCCCTTTCGCCTGCGCATGTGCAGTGCGGCCGCCGGCGCCCCCATGCGCCCGCGCGTGCCCGCCCCCACTCCGCGCCCTTTGCTACCTGGCCGCGCCCACCTCCTTGCGGAGCGGACCGCGCCCGGGCAGGGCACCTCCAGTCGCCTCGCTGGCCCCCGCGCTTCCAGACGGGTTTGGCTCTCCCCGAGTCCGTGTTGCTTTTCCCCTTCCTCGCCCGCTTCCCTCCCCCCTCCCTCCGGCCGCTGTGGCGGCGCCGCGAGGGGAATCGGCCACTGTTGGTGACGCTCACGACGTAGTGAAGAGTCGCGGGGACTGCCATCACAGTGCACGGCTTGCGCTGAACCTGGACCATCTGCTTCCACAGTTTCGAGCGTAGCGTAGTGGACAGCCGCGGGGACTACCATCACACTGCACATGTTTCGGAGACGCAGCTCCTGCCCGCTGCCGCCTCCCTTGCCCCACCAGGCGCCAGGTCGTGCCGCGCACCGGTTTCCATGCCAGTGCGTACATCGCAGGCCCAACGAAAGTACGCCTTCGTGGCACTTCGCTCAGGGTCATCCGTGGACACTTGCTCTGTTTCCCCTTGCTCGGCGCATCGCGCTTGCTGTTGCGGACTGCCCGGCTGACGCTCCAGCCCCCTGGACGCCGCCCCCGCCGCCCGCGGGCCGCTCCGGTCACTCACGGCTGAAGTCTTCCGCCTCTGAGTGCTCGCCCTTCTCTCCCCCCGCGGCTGCTTTTTCCTTTCCACTCCTCCTGCATGCCGGCCAGTTCGCTTTGTAGTGCCGCTGCATCGCTGCCACGCTGGAGCGGATTGTCCCGCCTCGCCGCCGACAGAAAAAAGTATCACGATCTCTCTCTCTCTCTCTCTCTGTATACATATCTATCTCTGTCTCTCTCTATCTCTGTATACATCTCTGTCTGACTATATCGTTATCCTTCTCTCTCGCTCTGTCTCTCTCTCTCTCTCTCTAAGTATTTGCCTCTCTCTCCCTCTTTCTCTTCCTCTCTCTCTCTCTCTCATCTTTTGTTTTTTTCTCTCTCTCTCTCTCTCTCTCTCTTTCTCTTTCTCTCAATTATCCCTCTCATCCCCCTGCTCACCTCAAGAATATCCTGCTATTCCTTTTCCACCCTCCACCCTTACCCTGTCTTCCTCGGAAAGCCGAACTCAAGCAGGAAGGCCTGTCGTGCACGAGGGCGTACTGGCCGACAGCAATTCAAACAGGCACCGAGGGGGCACAGCAGGAAAGGAGGCTTCGAGGCAGATGCAGCAGGGTGGGTGTTGCTCCAGCGCCATCTGATAACAGAGTCTCCTTCCTCCTCCATGGCCACCTGGCTCGTCTCCTCCTCCTCCACCTCCTCCTGCTCCTCCTCCTCCTCCTCCCTCTCTTCCTCCCCACCAATCGTCATCATCACCACAACCACCATGATCATCATCATCATCCTCATCATCATCATCATCACCACCACCACCACCACCATCATCATCATCATCATCATCAGCAGCAGCAGCAGCAGCATCATCATCATCATCGTCATCATCATCAGCATCATCATCATCCTCATCAGCATCAACATCGTTCAACATCAACATCAACAGCATCATCAGCAGCAGCATCAGCATCAGCATCAGCATCATCATCATCAGCATCATCATCATCATAATCATCCTCATCGTCATCATCATCGTCATCATCATCATCGTCATCGTCATCGTCATCGTCATCAGCAGAGGCATAATCATCAGCATCATCATCAGCATCATCATCCTTCGTCGTCGTCGGCCTCCTCATCATCCTCATCACCACCACCATCATCATCATCATCATCATCAGCAGCATCATCGTTGTCGTCGTAGGCGTCATCATGGCCGTCGTCGTCGTCGTCGCCGTCGTCGTCATCAAAAGCATCATCAGCTGCATCAGCATCATCTGCATCAGTTTCAGCCTCAGTATCATCAACATCGAGATCAGCAGAATCATCCTCATCATTATCATCATCCATCATCATCGGCATCAACATCATCATCATCATCAACATCATCATCATCATCAACAGCATCATCATCATCACTAGAATCCTCCTCCTCCTCCTCTTCGTCATAATCATTAACACCATTCCCCTTCGCCTCCTCCTACTCCTCCTCCTCCTCATCCTCCTCATCCACCTCCTCCTCCTCCTCCTCCTCCTCCTCCTCCTCCTCCCCGTGTCCTGTTTCCTCCGTTACCCTCCTCATCCTCCTCCTCCTGCCTACTCTATCGTCCGCCTCCTGCTCCCCCTCCCCCCACCCTTACTACCTTCTCTATCCTCCCTCCTACTTCTGCCCCCTGCTCCTCGACTTCATCACCATAACCACCACCGTCGTCCTCATCAAAAAGCATCGCCTTCACCATAGCCATGATTCACACCAGCGTCGATCAGCATGGTCATCATCACCATCATCATCTTCATCAGCCTTACTGTCATCATCATCCTCATCAGCATCATCATAATCACCATCATCATCACCATCACCATCACCATCACCATCACCATCACCATCATCAGCATTCGCATCATCATCATCATCATCATCATCATGATCAGCATCATCATCATCATCATCATCATCATCAGCATCAGCATCATCATCATCATCATTAACATCAGCATCAACATCAGTATGCTCATCTCCATCGCCACGCACATCGTCGTGATCGTCTTAACCACCATCGTGATCGGCATTAGTATGTCTATTACCACACACATCACCACCATAAGTCGTCTGCAGGCGCAGCAAGCCATCAGCACCAGCATCATCATTCTCGTCCTCTATGTCCTTCCCATGTCTCCAACCACACCCTATATTCGCCCCTTTTTCCCCCTGCCACCTACTCTTCCCTCTGCTCATCTCCAGTCCTTCTCCGATGGAGAAAGCCGAACACCCTGGGCGCCTTGTCGAATGCACTCGCCGCTGCCGGCACTTCTCGCTGTCGCAGCGCCACGACGACGCTGACGGCTTCTGGCGAGGACGCCGCTTTGTCCAGGGGTGTCATCCAAGAGCGGGCCGACGACCAGGACGCGATGCGAGGGGGAAGAGCTGAGAGCAAGGGAGGTCAAGACGCGGGAGGGTACACGAGGCAGGAAGGGGCGGAGCGAGGAACGAGTAGGAGCAGGAGTGGAGAGCGGAAGGGGGGATAAGAGGGAGGAGCGAGGAGGAACACGAACATGACGACGACGGCGACGACGCTAGTGGCACAGGGGACTGGTCGGCTGCACGCAGCCGCAAGAGTGACCATGGGCAGCAAAAGTGACCCTTGGAGCGCGGCTCGGGAGGGGCCGCGGGGGAGGCCAACCCCAACCCACGAAACCGCGCCAGCCAGTGCTGGTGGGACCCCTGTGTAGGTGGTACAAGGATGGGGTCCTGAGGGATGGGGTCCCAAGGACGAGGTGCCTCAAACAAAATATATCCACTCTGGACCCCTTCCGATCCCTTAGGCCCCCAGCCCTCAGGACCCCATCTTTGAATCACCGACTCTGGGCCCGAACCAAAAGGTCACTTCAGAGAGAAAAGCCACCCTTACGCGCAGTAGCTGGACGAGGCACAGGCCACGCCCGCTCTGTGCAGAGCCGGGGGCGGGTAGGGCGCTGGCCGAGGCGGCCGGGCAGAAGGCGTCCGAGCGAGGGTTCCGTGGGTGGGGCTCTTGCCGGAGGGTGGGGGGGCGGCGAGGACGGGACGGCAAGGGGTGGGGCGGGGCGAGGCCTGGCAGAGGGCGGAGGGGGGGAGAGGAGCATAATGAGTTGGTGGACTCTGCTGGATGGTAAGGCCTAACATGGTCCTCGCCTAGGTGTCCTGGTTTGAGACAGTGGAGCGTTGCGCGTTGTGGCTCCCTCCAAGCGGCTGTCTTCAATGGCCGAAGGACCGCAGGAAATAGGTCCTCGACTGGGGAGCCTTGGCACGGCGAATTTCTTGCGTGCCCGACTCGCCTAAGAAGGGCGTTTCCGTTACCTGGAGCCCTTGGCAAGGGCGCCCAACTTCGCGCATCGCGCTTCGCGCCGCCCCCTCAAGGTAAAGCAAGATTGGGAGGAATCCAAGCCGAACCGCAAAGCGCGAATCGATTTGTGCCCATGATGGGGATGGCGGCGAGGGAGGCACGAGGGTGGAGGGAGGAGGAACGGGGAGCGTGGTTCAGAACGGGAGCCCCAAACGAGCCCACAGGAACGGGAACGGGCCGAATTGAGGTGCCCGGAGCACCGAGGCCCAGCAGGGCCTAACACGAAGCAACGAAAGGGTGCGGCTCCCCGCACAGGCTGGGGACGAGAGCGGATGGTGGAAGGAGGAGGGTGGAGAAAGGGGGCGAGGGAGGGGAGAGGGCGGCGGAGACAGAGGGAGCCGCTCGCACGCTGCCGCCGAGCCCCTTCCGCGGCAACGGAGCAGGCGTCCTGTCACGTCGGTGGGGTAGCGCGACGACAGCAGCGTGACAAGGCGCTGCCCCGCTGCGTCGATGTGCTCGATGAACTGCGGGGCGCGGCAGGCGACGGTGGGGACGAAGAGGAGAGAGGGAACGGCTGGCGACGAGCCAGAGTGGGGTGGGGCGAGGAGTGGCCTTCGCTCAAAAACAGCAGGGTGCTTCTCTGAAGGGCTCGGGGGGCTCACATCTGGGCAAGCAAAAACAATATCAATGGCCGGCCGCCGTGGCGAACCCATCAGCGTGCCACTGCGGAAGAGCTACCAAGCCGTCGGACAACACAACGAAGAAGCATCACTCTGACGTGCTCCCAACGGCAACGCGTCATCGATACTCCGTGTGGGGGCTCAGTGGGCTCCGTAAGACGCTCACCTCTGCCTTCTCAGACGAGGACGCCCCCTCGGCCCGCATGCACGCCTGCAAGGGAGCAGGGGAGTGCAGCAGCGCGAGAGCGCGCACGCAAAGGGGAAGCGCGAGGCCCCGCATCGAAAGCTCGCGCGAATGGGCAGAACGCCGCCAAGAACGCGAGAGGGACGCTTCGAGCAGGCCTCCTGGCGCGTGCAGACGGATCGTTCCATCTTATGGGCGAAATATAAGGAAAAACGGTGGGACGCGAAAGGTTCCGAAGTGGGTAT